AAAAAGAGACAGACACTGAGAGAGAGAGAGAGAAAATGAATTGGTTTGGTCGGTTTGAGAAAGAGAGAAGTAAAGAGCAAAGACAAAGGAAAAGCACAACTACCACATGTAACAACAACAGGGAAACAAAAGGAACAAACACCACTGAAAAACAACAACCAACGACAACACTGAAAGAGAGAGAGAAGAAAGAGACAGAGACAAAGAGAGGAAAGAGTGTGAGAGGTTTGAAAGAAAGACGAGAACAGAAAGCGGCAAAGGACAGAGCAAAGGGCAGCGGATAGAGAGATCCAGAGACCCAGAGACCGGAGACCAGAGACCAGAGACCAGAGATCCAGAGACCAGAGATCCAGAGACCAGAGACCAGAGACCAGAGACCAGAGGTCGAGTGAGAGGAGAAGAGAGAACAAGAGAGGTCATCAGCAAAACTCAACACCATCACAAAGGAGAGAAAAAAGAAAGCCACAACGCCCATCAACACGTTACTCAAGATACCTTTGATGGCAAAGGGCAGCCGGGCAAGGGTCCAATGCCTTTCATTGCTGCGTGTTAGTGGCCGACCCTGTTCAACGTAGTAGCTTGGTCCAGCACTGTCGACGCCGCGAATCCAGCCGCACCCGCGTGATTTTGCTCATCCAATCTGCGGACATGAATGCGGGAAACAAACAAAACTCAACATGTCACGCAGTTTGGAGCTGGTGCGGCATCGGAAAGAGGAGCGGCGTCCTCTGGTGTGTCCGTGCCATGCATTGCTTCCATTGATCCGGTGCACGCCCGCATCATTCCAAGCGAGAGCCATTTTGTTTCTGGACCATCTCTCGTCAGTGCTGTCTTGTTGTTGTAGCCCACACATCAGAGAATGCAGTCGGGAAAACATCGCTTTCGCCGCGCGGTGCGGCGATTGATGGTGGACCTCAAGTTTGAGCGCCAACTAGCTGCCCGGCCGTATGCCTACCAGGGAACTCGCCAGCACAGCGGCCCGGGGGCGGTATCATCTGGCAACGGCGGACGCGGAAGCCCGGGACTGGTCTTTGATGTGAATGGTATATCCTTACCGCCAACCCCTCGATTGCCAGCCCCATCATGATTGCTCATGATAATGAACTCACAGTTGGTGGTGGCGCGCGTTGACTTGCTGTTGTACAGCGTTCAGTCCGGCTTTGCAAACTTGCCGCTTGGATCGGCGGCTGAAGTTTGCGCTGCGCAAGGCACCAGCTGCCCGAACGGACGAGGATGTTAAGCAAATTCTCCTGCTGGTCTTGCAGCTCAACTTGTTTCAAACCTATAGTCAGGTCCCACCCCAAGCTTTGGCTGCAATTCTACGCTATGATAGCTTCAGTGCACATCGCGTGGTCATCCGTCATGGTAGGCGCTCGACCCCGCCTGGTGTTCTTGGTGTTTGCGATATTTGGTGTACCCGGGGTCGACGGGATGTCAACCCATACTCATGCAAGCCAACCCCCCGCACAATAGGTCAGCCCGGTGTGGCGTGCTACTCCGTGCTCTCGGGCCGGCTGCAGATTCTGGGACCCCAGCGAGACCGGCCTTGGGACATGGTGCCCATCAACATCATTGGACCCGGTAGGTGGTGGTGCACAAAAGGTTGAGTTTTCCAACCCCATTCCCACGTCACCCCCCGTTCCCACGTCACCGCCGTTCCTTTGGTTCTATTCGCTCAATGGTGTCCCAGGAGAAATGTTTGGCGAAATGGCGCTGTTGGACAAGTACAACGTTCGCACGGCGACCGTGGTCAGTCAAACACACGTCGAATTGGTGTGGTTAGCCCGCACTGATTTGGATGCCACGCTGCAGCGCGTGCGATCAGCCCAGCGCACAAGCATGTCTGCCGCTTTGCGATCGCACCATGTGTTTGCCTCGGCCACGACCGACGAACTGGCTGGGGTGTTGGAGTGGACACAGCGTCTGCAGCTGCGTCCAGGGCAGGTGCTGGAGGCCCTGCCCGGCCACCAGAGCCAAGGCCAGCGTCAGCGTCAGCCACTCTACTTGTTGGTAAAAGGCACGGCCGTGCTGGTCCGGCGCATTCCTGTGAATCTTCATCGCGACCGTATCCGCCTCGTCTATCGGCCAGGTTGGTCGGTCCACAGGGCAGCCTTGGCAACCTATTTCCAGGTCATTCGAACATGACACTCACCTTGCCGCGACCCTTGGTGTAGGTAGCGATACGCACGTTCTCTTGACAACGGGGCGCTTGGAGGCAGGGCAACTGATACCGCGGCTTCCTCGAGACCGTGTGGTGGTCAGCGAGACGACGACCGTGTGGCTGCAGATCGAACGCGAGGGCCTCAGCACGGCTGCACAGGCTCGCGCCGTGTTCCACCTGTGGCGGGACATGCGCTTTCTCAGCACGTCCACCGCTGCCGTCTTTGCCGCCTTTGACCTGCAGCAGCGCTGGGAACTGGCTCGGCTCCGCTACTGCCACAGCCTCCGCCAAGCAAGGCCCCACGCCCCTGCCCACCACCACCGCGCAGCCCTTGCCGCCTAAGCTCGGCGCATTGCGCAAGCGTGAGCAAACGCTTGTCAGACGATTCATTCCATTACCAAGTGTTAGCCCTTGACATCACCACAACAAAAGGCGAGACGAGTGAATATTTCTTCACTAGTTTTGTAATAAACTGCACAAGCCCTCATACTCTTCTACGCTGTAACATTAGTGTTTTGAAAATGAATCTACATTATCCCTTATTATCACGACCGTAACCACCATCAAACCCGCGGCCCCTAAAGCAATGTGGAGAGAGAGAGCCAGCGGACGAACAAGTGCGCGCCAGAGAGGGGGAGGGAGTGGAGCACGGAGAACGGGCAGCACAGGACAGGCAATGCAAGGCAGGGCAGCGCAGGGCAGGGCAGCGCGGCGCAGTGCCAGAAAAGGGCCGGAAATAGCAAGATTCGCCGAGAGGTCTTCCGTCCAAATGTCCTCTGACTGATTTGTTCTGACCTTCTTTCTCTCTTGAACCAATTCACACACACTCTCTCTCTCTCTCTCTCTCTCTCTCTCTCACACAAGCTCTCAAGCTCTCTCTCTCTCTCTCTCTCTCTCTCTCTCTCTCTCTCTCTCTCTCTCTCTCTCTCTCTCTCTCTCTCTCTCTCTTTTTCTTGTTGTTTTTGTGTCTCGTCCAGCAGCTGTGCTGCTGCTGCGCTGCCGCGCCAGCTTGTGAGGTACGTGTCTATTGGTGAGCGAAAAGGCTGCTGGCCGGCCGGCTGATGGCAATGCCAAGCTGAGGAGAGCTTGATGACAGGATCCCCTGAGACGTGGCCGTTCTTTGCTAGCCCGTGTGTTCTGCTTCTTCATTGCCCTGCCGGCCGGCGCTCATTGGCAGTGCAGACTTGATCGCCCTTGATCACTTTTCCGCGCTGTCTGACCCTCTTCGCCATCGAATCCTTGCTTCCAGCTCTGCCTATTTGGAAGCCTCCTCGTACCGCATTAGTCTGCCTGGACGCTACTCTGCTGCTTGGGCCGGCTCCGTGTCAGGGTTTATCCCAAGCCGCAGTCGACGATCCCCGGAGTCAGTGGCGCCGTCCACCATGGCTTCGCAAGCCGAGGTCGAAGGCTATGTCTCGGCCTTTAATGAGCTTGAACCCCAATCAGGCCGCGTCAGCATTGCCACGGCTGCCGCCGCCTTTGCCACGACCGAGCTACCTCGCGATCAGCTCGAAGCCATCTTGTCAGTCCACGGCACCCATCGCCCAGCTGATGCTTCACGCCTCTAAAACGCCTTTTCCCAATGGCTCACGGCGCGTGAAACTGCTCAATAGAAACATTTGTGACAATGCCAGCTGTGGTGCACTCACCAAGAATGAATTTATCGTCGCGATGCATCTCGTCACCCAGAAGGTTTGTGCTCCTCACCGCTCCATGCCCACACCACCGGCTTCTATTTCTCCTCTCACCCTCTCCCTTTGCGACAGATGAAGGGAGGAGAAGTACCCGACACACCGCCCGCTTCGCTGGCTCAGATTGAGTTAGCCCCGGTTGAACCCATGGTGAGTCCTAGCGTGGCTCCGCGACAGAGCGACCCCCCAACCCAACCGCTCACACCCGCGCCACCTTTGCTTTGGCCGATGCCTCCCAGACCAAAAGCAAATACCACATGCTCTTTGATCGAATCAACCCAGGACAGACGCGCATGCCCGAGGGCACCGCCAAGGCTTTGCTGGCCAAGGCCGAGCTTGATTCTCGGCTCGCTCAACACGTTTGGCGCCTCGCCGACCAAGATCAAGACAACTGCCTGAGCCGCAACGAATTCGTAATTGCAATGCATGTATCCACTTTGGCCAAACTCGGTCACACGCTACCCCGCACCCTCTCCCCGGCCTTTTTGAGCTCCGTTGACATGGGCTTCGGTGCTTCAGGTCAGATCCGTATGAACTTGCCAAATCCCCATGCCAATTCGTTGCCCCAACCCCTTCCTTGCTCAATGCGACCAATTGATTCTCACGACGTGCCTTGCCCCGTTTCGGCCGCTGGGCTAGCAGCACCAGAAGACTCGGATGACGAGTCTGATTTGGGCTCTGCCCCGCCCTCGCCGCCTCCAGATCCCGATACGCTTCCGTCATCAGACGAGGAGGAAGAAGATGGTCCAGCCAACGCATTAACCTCGGTAGTGCCCCCGCCTTCCGCCCAGTTGGATCTACAAGCGCAACTGCAAGACCTTCAGCAGCTCCGGTCTCCTATGAAAGTTGCACCAACTGCAGCACCCCCCTCGGTCTCCGAAACTGCCAATCAAACAGCGCCCGTGACGCCACAGGCCCAGATGTCCCCAGCTTCCCCCGAACCTGCTCTGCCCCGCGAAGTGCCGCAGCCTGGACCCGAGCCTGAGCCTAGCCAAACAGCTCAAGTGGTGTCTGAGACGCCTGCTCCATCGGCCCCTGCGACCCAGGCCATGTCCACCACGCCCACAGTTGTAGAGGCCGATGAGGCTGACAACGTCGATGAGGCTGACAACGCCAACGAGGCTGGCACCGTCAACGGCGCGCCTGTCATGCCGGCCTCGGCACCCCCTACCATTGCTACTCAGGGTCTTGCTTCCTCTCTACCGCTGCCGCGGAAGTATCGAGATCAGCGTACCGAGCAGACTGAAGACCCCACACGCCGCCGAAGTAGCAATTTGAGCTTTCGCGATGAACACGGCGGCCCGTTGGTGGAGGAGCACGCAACCTACAGCAGCGAAGAGTATGACCGTGGTGATCACGATCTAGATGTGGAACGAAATCACATTGATGCCTCCATCGAGGTTCGTGCCAAGGCCTTTTTCCTTGACTTGCGTTGATTGACCGCCATCTTTCACGCTGCTTTGCTTGCCTGCATGCGTAGGCCACTCAGAGCTCACTTCAATCCGAGAGTGAACAATTCGACTCGGAGCTGGCCAGCCTACGCGAGCAGGTGAGCCTCAATGATATACCTTGCACGAACAAGAACAAGAATTCGTCCACTCACCTGTCACAAATTCGTTTGTTTTGTTTTGTTTTTCTCTCTCCTTTTCTGGAATCAAGGAGCGCGAGCGTGAGCGTCTCAGGGAAGAACGAGAGGCCAGCTTGGCGCGTCTTTCAGCTGCCCAGGCAGAAGCTGCTGCTGCTGCTGCTGCTGCTCAGCAAAAGGCAAAGGAGGCCGAAGAGCGACTGGAACGACTGCGCTTAGCTGACGAAGAGGAGGCGGCCAAGAAGCAAGCAGCAAAGGATGCTCAACGTCAAGCAGAAGAAGAAGCGGCTGCGAAGCGTGAAGCCATGGAGGTGGAGGCCAGGGCGGCCGCCGACGCCGAAGCCAAGGCGAAGGCAGCTGCAGAAGCTGAAGAGAAGGCCAAGGCAGACGCCGAAGCCAAGGCGAAGGCAGCTGCAGAAGCTGAAGAAAAGGCCAAGGCAGATGCTGAAGCCAAGGCCAAGGCTGCTGCAGAAGTCGAGGCCAAGGCCAAAGCGGCTGCAGAGGCGGAGGAACAAGCTGCTGCAGAGGCCCAGGCCAAGGCCAAAGCGGCTGCAGAGGCGGAGGAGCAAGCAGCTGCCGAGGCCGAAGCCAAGGCTAAAGTAGCTGCCGAGGCCGAAGCCCAAGCGGCTGCAGAGGCCGAAGCCAAAGCCAGAGCCGCCGCAGAGGCCGAAGCCAAGGCTAAAGCAGCTGCCGAGGCCGAAGCCCAAGCGGCTTCAGAGGCCGAAGCCCAAGCCAAAGCCGTCGCAGAGGCCGAAGCCAAGGCCAAGGCGGCGGCAGAGGCTGAAGCTGAGGCCAAGGCTCAAGCAGCAGTCAGCGCGACAGCGGCTGAACGTCAGACTGAATTCAGGCCTGTTCTACCTTCATCTGCTTCCCCCGCTCTGCCAATGAACACGGCCCCGAGCTCCGACAACAATGCCGCAGAGTCAGACTTTGCCGAGATCCAGCGTTTGCGGCTGGAAGAGAAGCGGCGCGAACGCGAAGAGCGGCGCAAAGCTCGCAAGCAGCAGCGTGAGGAGGAGGAACGTCGCCATCGCGCCAGCGTGGAGGCTGTGCAATCCCTGACCTTCACCTTGGACCAAGCTGTGAAGCTCGTTGACTTGGAAACGCCCATCGAAGAGGCACTGGAGCCGCCATCACCTTCCAAAGGCACTGCGAGTTCAGCGCCGGCGTCTTCGTTGTCTGCCTCCTCTACTATCAAGTCTGACACCACCACACTTGGCGGCCAACCCAGCCTCCCCACGGTTCAACCGCCTGCATTGTCACTGAGTCAAGGGCCGAGCTTGCCTGCAAGCCAGCCTCCCAAGCTACCTGACGCCACCCCTGCCCAGGAGGCTCCCGAAGCAGCAGCAACCACGAATGCAACGCCCGCCTCTGGTTACAACAATGACCTCGGCTATCGTCGCAACTCCAATGCCGCTCGTGCAGCCGCATTGGCCACAAATCGCTTCCAGCGTAGCTCGCGTGAAGATCGCGCAGCCTTCTTTGAAACTGGTTCAACTTCAGGTACCGTAGCCAGTAACGTTGATGCGACCATCAGTGAGCCGACCAATGCAAAGGCGCCTGAGCCAGAGGTTGCAGTCCCCACCGCAGACCCTGCTATCCCAGAGCAGGACGAAACCTCAGAGGATGCAGCAAATGCGGGCACCTACTACATGGTTTCTCCCTCTGGATCCGCTTTTCTTTCAGAGCAACAGCGAGCCGAGGCTGAGCGGCAACGCGTAGCCAAACAGGAGGCATTGGCTCGAGCTGCCACCAAGGTGGTGGCGGAACAGAAACGCGAACAAGAATCCGAATGGGTTCCTCCGTCGCAGCGTGTTGGCACGATCGGCAGCCCGGACATTGAGCGTCGTCGTCAAAGCATTACGGGACCCGGGCATTCGAGCGTACGCGCCGCTGCTGCCGCTGCCGCTGCCTCAAAACCATCTCGTGGGGCTGAACATCGCAGTAGCATTAGCCTTGTTGCCCCGGTTCAGCGTTCGCCCTCTCCTCCCCCCGTGGTGCAAGAGACGTCTGCCCCTGCACCAAGTGCACCCGCCCTGGCTACACAAAGCCAGACTGTGCACGAGGAAAGCCCACGTCAGCGTCTAGGAAGTGTGGCTGCTCGCATTGCCGCATTTGGAGGAGAAGCAGCCAAGGCACCCCCCTCATTTCGAACCAACTCGGTCAGCTCGCAAAAAAAGCCAGGGTTTGCAGTTACACCGGCCCCAATCGCCAAGACATCCCCAGCCCCGGTACAGGCCCAAGAGTTTCAGCCTGCGCCTCTCTCGCGCCGGCGCAGTTCCTTTTCGATTCAGCCACTTGTGGGTGGCGGTGCTTCACAGCCTGTTTCGTCTTCCCAACCGGAGCCAGAGCCCGCAGCTGTGACGTCGAACGTCTCACGAAACCCCATCACTGACCGGCGCGCCATGTTTGAGCGTGGATCCACGAGTGCACCCAACAAGGCGCCTAGTGAACCGACGTCATCTTCGAACTCGGTGTCCGGTGCCCGTGGTTTTGCGGCGTTCAACACATCGCGCAACACGCCTAACACGGGCCTCCGGACCCATGCCTCGTTTGGAGGTGTGAAAGCGGCGGCCCCAGTGACCGAGCCAGGCGCCGCTCAAGCCACGGGGGCCACCAGTGTTGCGAAAACCGTCAACCGCTTTGGGACTCCCATGTTCTCTGCTAGCTCTGCTGGAACTGGGATTGCTCGTTCCAACACTGTTTCGCACTCGACAGCGCCCACTGCCAGCTTCAAAACGAGTGCCAACGTGGGTGCAGCAAGCTCAGCCTCACCGCCGGCTTCCCCGTCAAGCTCAACGGCCAGCACTGGCGGTGGTGGTGCCACCTTCCGCGCTCGTGCAACCACCCAGCCGGCCTCAAGCCTCAATAGCTCCACCGACTCAACCTCTGCGAAGCAGGTGAAGCCGGGCTGCTGCCAAGTGTGTGAGCGCCAAGTGTACATGATGGAGAAGGTACGCCTGTGTGCATGTGTTGCTTGTGGGCACCGAGCCTTGCGCTCAGGCCCTCGTACCCTGGTGATGTGCGTACCCAGACTTCTTGGCTCACCATATCCATTTGACTCGTCATTTGCAGATCCAAGCGGATGGTAAGACATATCACAAGACGTGCTTTCGATGCCGCGAGTGTAACCGCACCCTGTCCACGGGCACGTATGCTGCCGTCCATGGTGCATTGTACTGCAAGCCCCACTTTAAACAGAAATTTCGCGAAAAGGGCAACTACGATGAGGTGAGCTTGCCCTGTTCTTGTACTGCTCGCAGAGTTTTCTTGTCCCCTACTTGCCCTGTGTGACATCAGAATGTTGCTTGGCAGGGATTTGGCCAAACTCAGCGCAAGTACGATTTTTCCAAGTGAGATCATCACCGCCGATGCGGAGATGCAACGCGCGCCTGCATCACCCATAAAATGTACCTCAGCCACTTGCAAGAGTTGTCGACTATACATTGGATGTACACAACCGTTTGTACATGATAATTCACATGTCATGACCAAAAGGGGTGGTCATTTAGACTCCCATCGAATTTATCAAAAGATGGGTGACTCTTTCGTTCATGGCCTCGTTTGGTTTCGATTGATATGATTTGACGTTGCGATGCTCTTGTTCTTTTTTTTAATTGTGTGGATTTCATTTTGTTCGAAAAATGCCGCCTGAGCCACCAGTGTAGACCCACGGGGCGCCTACATGATGGCGTTGAGCTCTGACATCAACCTGCGCACGCAATACAAGTGACCAGTTTGTTGAAGTGAGCTGTAATTGACTCTTAACCATGACAAAGGTGGAGCATCTCACATACCCGGGTCCCATAAGAGTCGGAGTAGGGCCGTTGAATAAGGATACGCCCTTGTGTTCCCATTTCAGCAGTTCGCCCGCCAAGAGTCGGTGGTTGGGATCCACTGTCAAAGCCTTATCCATGAAAGCGACAACAGCTTCTGAACTGCGATCACGCGCGATTCTGCCCAAAGCGCAGAGTCAGACGGCAAGTTGAGTAAACCGTTTGTGCGTGCCGCGGCCCCGACACGACCACCATGCTTGCAGAGCGCAAGCGAGGAGCCAGCCAGATCAAGATGACACGTACAGGGTATTGAAACGCTGCGAAACTTGACGTTTTTTGTGGCCTTTAGCAGGTAAGAGGGGGCAGTCCTCCAGCCAAGCGAACGAGTCGGTTCCACAGAGCTGTACGGGGCAACAAAGAACCATCATGATACCAAGCGTCGAAAAAAAAAAACAGGCCCCCTGTTCAAAAATTGATTGTCGTCAGATCTATCGCCGCATGACAGCTCAAACCACGACCTTTTGAATCTGAATAAACTGATAAGTTTCGGCTTTTGTCCGGCCGTCTGCTGAACTCGTGCGACCGTCAAAGAGCGGATCAAGGTTGAAAAGCTCGCCCATCACAACGGCCTGGGTGAATACGACGGGTAACATGGGATGGCAAGACACGGAGCGCACAGGAGTCAGTGGTGTGTCACGTCAGTTGAGGAAGGAGAGATCGGGTGGTGAGACAAGGACGAATGCCCTACCAAGCTCCACGAGTCAATCTTCTCGGGATACGAGACTTGACCGGCCAGAAGCTCTGGGGGGCGATACCATTGCTGGGCGAGGAGAAAGCCAGAGCATAGCCGTGAGCCGAGCACGTGTGTGGTCGACAGGCATGGGTAAGTCTCCACTCGTGGCATAGGACAAACGGACCGAGCAGACGAGCGCTGTATGGCCCTTGCGTTCATTATGAACATCTGGGTGATGGTATTTGGCCAGACCAAAATCGGCCAGCTTGATGACGCCTTGTGCGCTGAGGAGAATGTTTGCAGCTGAAGGTGACAACGGGGCAAGGTGGCAAGCACGCAATGATGAGCATAGGAAATTCTCGAATGGTGGTGGGTGCAGATGCCTAAAGAATGACAAATGCAAAAGCAGACATCATACGTTTCAGGTCGCGATGCAAGACGCAATTCTTTTCAAGGTGGTCCAGTCCACGCAGCATTTGCAGGGCCAGTCCTTTGAAGATTGTCGTGGAGACGGGAGATTTGCGGGATCCGGCGGGCTTTTTGGCTTTGATGGCGGTGAGGATGCGGTTTAAATCATGGTCGACGAATTCGAGTACCATGTAGCAAAATTTACCCGACTTTGTGTTCTTCACCTCAGCTGCGCCCCGACCAGAACACGCACACGCAGCGCTGAGTCATGGACATACGCGGCAACAAGTTCGGGCACTCTTTGTCGGTAAAAAGGAGCGGCAGAGCATGTTGGGGCAAGTACAAACATTCTTTGCTAACGACGGCAACGGATTGCAGTTGCACAATGTTTTCATGGCGAAGCTGCTTGAGAATCTGGATTTCGCGCAGTGCCGTTTGTGGAAACCCGTTGGCCTCTTGCTCCGTTTTGATCTTTTTCAGGGCCACAATCTGCTGGGTGGCCACGTGACGACAGCGCTTCACCTCACCATAGGTGCCTTCGCCACCCGTTCCATCGTTAACGGGCGAAAACTTTCTGTGACCCGGCGAACAATGGTGATGAGTCTCAACCAACCCCGTCAGACCGTGCGATGGTGGCAAGCCGAGAAAGCTGAGCCGGGACGGAAAAGACGACATACGTGGCGTTGTCAATGCGCGTGAACTGAAAAGAAAAGGCTTTTTTACGTTTTGCAGACGGTGCTTCACTAGCCATGCTGGCCAGTGCTGTGCTGCTCTGCGCTGCGCTGCGTTTGGAACAGGCCAATCACCTCCGATGACGACACCAAACGGTACGCCAACCCCTCACGGACCGGTTCCACCACCCTGACGCTTGGATGCTTGTCTAGCCCGTGACGGTAGCTTTCAACTGGTCTGGACGACTCCTTTCCTGACGCGTATCCTGTGTTCAACTCGTCTCCGTGCAATCTCTCCGCCGCTGTGCGGTCCGTCACCGTGCGGTCTCTCCGCCGCTGTGCGGTCCGTCGCCGTGCGGTCTCTCCGTTGTCGTGCGGTCTGTCCGTCGCCGTGCGGTCTCTCCGTCGTCGTCTGCGCTGCCGTTCGATCAGCCGTGGATTAAATACACCACAGAAATGATGTCCTCTCTGAAAGACTCTCAAATGCGTACTGTCTCTTGTTGCCTTTTGCTTTCCCTTTGTTACTAAACTTTCAAGCATGTCAACGCCTCCTCTCTCTTGTATCCGTCGCTTTTGGCTCTCTCTCTCTCTCTCTCTCTCTCTCTCTCTCTCTCTCTCTCTCTCTCTCTCTCTCTCTCTCTCTCTCTCTCTCTCTCTCTCTCTCTCTCCTCGATTGTCAGATTTGAAAGGCCGATATCGTCACTGCATTCGTGGTTTGTGTTCTTCAAGCCTTCGCGTATGCTGAGTTCATCTCTTAAGGTTCATTCGCCTTCTTTCTCTGAGATATAGCTACCCATTGGCCCTCGTCTCTGACTTACTTGTAGAAAGCATGCGAACAACACTCGCTCTCTCCCTTGTTCATTCTACACCTCTTCAGTACAACCTCGCCAACCTCTCTCTCTCTGAAAGGAAAAAGGTACGACCTCGTCACCTCCCGCCGCTGCCGTCGCCGTCGCCGCTGCCGGTTGCCATCGTTGTTGGGGCGATCTGCAAGCAGCTTTTATATGCACCAGACAGACGTGGTGTATCGGGTCGATCAATGCCCCTCCTCCTCTTTGTGTTTCCCCCCGATCAAAGTCCGGCTCGCTTGGTTTGGTTCACTCATACACCTCACTCGGCTCGCGCGCTTCTTCCAGGGCCCCTCCTCCGGTGTTCCGCCTAATCCGTGCAACGCCACGCGTAGCATAGCCGTCATCCAAGTGAGACACGACCTTCAAGCAAAAGGACTCTTCTGAACGATCCCGGGCCTTTGCCTTGCACTTGGCAGGCTCGCTTCCGCTCGGGGCAGGGATTTCTATTGGCCCCGTCGCACCGCACAACCGCCCGCCTCCCTAACGAGGCCTCTCTGGCCTGCTCCTCCGATATCCGGCATGGTACGCAAGCTTGAGCTGACGGCCGCCTCTTGATCTGCCAGCCGCACTCCTTGGGGAGATACGATCCAGTTTACACGACCCAGTTTACACGCCACGCCACTGTATCCTCGCAAGCCTATCTGAACCTATCGGGCCCAGGCTCTGAGCGCCATGGCGTCGGCCACCGGCACCAACACCAACTCTGGCGCCGATGCATCGGGGTGGTGGGCCATTTATCACACTATGCAGGTCAAATATCAGCATGACCTGCTGCCCCCCAACATGGATCAATTGCTCCTTGAGGTCGGCCAATTCAACGACCTGGTGCGGAATGATGAGATCAAACTGCTGCATGTAGACGCTGGTTCGGATCTCGGTGCCAGCGCCTTGCTCGCGGCTTGGATTGAAGGCTATGCCCAGCATCTTCTCAGCCGTCAAACCTCGTCGGATCGCACCGTCGCCTTTCACTTTTGCGAGTGCACCCCATACTCTCATCTTCAACGCACCACACTTTGCAAGCTCATCACCGACCTGGAGCTACAGCTCGGCCAACACGATGCTGCCCCTCTCCACCTCCTCAATGTCAACGCCCTTATCGCCAGGCTGCAGGCCCTCCTTTCCCGCAATCAGCGACCGGCCATCATCCTCCTGACAGACCTTCAACTCTGGAGCCTCGGCAGTTCCACCTCGGACCTCACCTGGCTCACTGAGCTCGCGTCTCGGCCCAACACAACCCTCGTACTAGCCACGAGCGAAAGCAAGCTGACGCGTCATTTTAAGCGAACCCCCGGCTACCACCGCTACCCACTTTTAACGCGTGATCGCAACGCCGTCATGGCTGAAACCGCCGCTACCATGTCCCACGCGCTCGGTACCTCGGTCCACGTTGGCCAGCTCTTCCCAGTCTTTCAGGAGATCAAGGTCAGTCTGACTCGACTCCGCAGCAACAGCCGTTTCCCTGTGCCTTTTGTGTCGGACCGGGCGCATGCGAGGGAGGAAGGAGACTTGTCAGACGATCGCTTGCGCCTCTTCTTGTCCATCTTGACCCTTTGTATATTCTAAGGGTGTCTTGCAAGCGAGGGCAATCCGAAGAGTATCAGTCACCGGTCCACTCTTGTGGGCGAGCTCGATGCCACCACATCTCATGTGATCCACCTCCCTCCTGCTTCAAACGCAGGTCAAACGACTTGGCGGGCTTCTTTCCCGCACAGAGTGTCCGACTCTCCAATGGTTTGTGACGCCCCTCATCTCACTCTACTTTTCATAGGATACCCATGTAAAAAGTCACCACCGCTCCGCCTCTTCCCTCATCAATAGGAACGTGGCGCGCCTTCTGGCTCGGGCCTCTGCAGCGCTAGCTCTTGGCGAAGAAAAGCCCTCGCTCCGCACAGATGCTGCCATCCGACATGCGCTTCAGCTTTCGGCTCAACCTAGCCAGCAAAAGCGCATGGAGAGTGTTTTGGATGCCGTTCTTGCGACGCACAACTCCGTCCGCCGGTTTGTAGGCCGCCATCAGATGCTTGTACTTTTTGTCAAAAATGAGCTTACACTGCATGTTAACCCTATGCGCAGCGACCTGATTCAAGTCTTGGCAATCATCGCTGCCACCGCAACGGGTGCCTCACCAGCTGAGCTGTCTCTATTGCTCGGACCCGACCCTTTGACATTGCGCACAACAGTATGATGCAGTGCAACACCCTAAGCCAGACCATACAAGCCTCGCAAGCGGATCTTGTTGGCTCGAATCTCACGTCTTTGACTTGACCTTTGTTTCCAACCCCCGTCCATCTCGATTAGCTTCTTCTGCCGCTACAACCCCTGCTACAGGGTGACGTCAACGATGTAGTGCCCCTTCATCTGGTTTCACCGCTTTTGAAATCAGGCATTGCTCACTGGGCAGCTGAGCTCGGGATCGAGGCTGACTGGGCACAGCATTGCCGGTGGCGGTTCGTGGGCGCCACTTTTTTGCCGCGGTGCCCTCCATGTGTGCCTCTGGCGCCGCTGGCGGCAGCGTGACAAGACTCATCACTTCACCCGCGTTGTCATTTTGCAACTTCAGACTGTTTCTGAGCATTCGACACCACGAGCCTGAACAGGAACCGCGTTGTGCGTCCGAGCTTCAAGCATGGCCACCGACCCCGGGCCAGGTACGCCAGGCTATTCGCGTGCATGACACTCGCAAGACTCTTGCTCGCTCACTTGTAGGCTCTTCTGCCGTGTACTCTGCGCTCGCGTATTAGGCCACTCCTGAAAATGCTATGTTACTCGTGGCCGCCGCGTCCCCTACGCTAGTTGGCACTGAGCTCAAGTGCGCTTTACGCCACATGTGCTCTCGCACCATCGCACTCACTTCACCATGCGTGGTCACTCATGTTTATCCACCACTTCTCCTTCTTAGTTTTGCGGACATGACCAAGTTGGCCACGCCATCGGCGTTTGAGGAGCTCATGCAGGTGCTGCGTTTGCATCGAGCATTTAAATCCATCGAGTATGTTTTTATTTGTTTCACCCCTCCCCAACACGCACACGCACGCATCAAACTTACCCGTCGAGGCTTTTCCATTCATTGTCGCATGTGAATGCTTTATTATTCTCACACCGACTCACACCCGTCTGCATCGGCGCGTGAACCGTGTACATATAAGTCTAAGTGGGATTGGCTTCAACGATGACCAGGCGGCGACCCTTGCACAAAATTTGCAAATGTGTCCCAAGTTGGAGTCTGTGCGGTTCGTAAAGTCTTCGCATTGCTGTCGCGCCTCGACAAGTCATGTCTCATGTCCAGGCTCTTTTTTCTTTTTCTTCAACTTTTTTTTTACCTCATCCGCAATAAAAAATGGCAAATACAGGTTACACAAAAACCATATCACGCGTACTGGAGCCATGGCCATGGCCCTGCATCTACCAGCTCGTGCCTTGGTGAGAATTGTTTTGCGATGACAAATTGACCTGGGCCTATACTCGCCGCAGGTACTGACGCTCGGCACCACCCTTCTTCAGGTATCTGGCGTTGAGGAGTGGAAGCGAGCTTCTGTGCTGGTAGCCATTCGAGAAGGCACTGCCAGCGAACTTTGCCTGGATGAGAACATGATTCTGCCTCCCCCCATTATCAATTTCCTGGGCAATGCGCTGGCCTCTTGTGAAGCCGTCACCCGCATCACGTCAGTCTCCGCATCCAAGTCATGTTCAGACGTGATACGACTGCTAACGTTTGCCACGCATGTCTTTTGTGGGTTTAAAATGCCACAGGCTGGTTCGCCAGACGCTAACAGACGACCAAGCAACAGCACTTGGACACGCTATGGCGCGCATGCCAAGCCTTACGCACCTCAAGTCAGGATGTGTTGCGCTGTGTTCTGTCATGCCTGCGTTTGTCCAACGCTTTCATCTCATCTTGCTGTTAAACGCTTGTATCTCATATAGATGGAGCAATTGTGGCTTGAACAACAACGGGGTCCTTGCCCTCTGTGATGACCGACACAATGCATTGCGTCTGCGCCAGCTCGAGTATGTGGCAAGCGTGGGGCCAACGGTGTACCCATACCTGTTCAAGTACATGCCCGATTCTCCACGATGCTGACGTAGTTTTGATGCGCTCGTTGTGCACTATCGTAGCTTGTCTCAGAATAAACTGCGAGACGATGTTGGTGCTGCCCTCGGCCGGTGTTTGAAGGGAGCCAGCCCCTTGACACATCTCAAGTAGGTAGCATGTGCCCACGAATGTTTCTGTCTGGTCTGGGTTTTGCTGCTGCTCCCTATCGCCTGAAACCCCTGCTGTGAGCATTCTCCCACTGTGTCAAAAGGCCCTCTCTGACTTGTTTGTGAAATGCCGCTCCTTATTTACAACACTTTCAAATGCAGTTTGGCGGACAACCTTTTGCAAGACAAGGGTTCGCGAGGGCTTGGCGATGCGCTCAAGAACAACACAAATCTGAAAGTGCTCAAGTGGGGGACTTGCCAAGGCCCGCCACCCACACCTGACAGTGCATTGCTGCGCTCTAAAATACAGCTCACTGCGCGTGGTTCTGCTCGATTGCACGCTCTTGGCTGACAGCTTGTCTCGGAACAAATATATTACGCAGATGGGCGTTCGCTTCCTCTGCGAAGGCCTCAAGTCCAATACGGGGCTGCGCCTATTTGCGTTCGTTCTGTTGCGACCCCCCTAAATACCTGTGCTCGTATCTGAATCCATGTGCATGAACAGATGTAAGCAGGTGCGCTCACAGAATTTTTCACCTTTTTTAGATTTGTCGACAATATTGGCACTGGGGATGCTGGAGCCCTGCAGTTTGCAGAAGCTCTTCGTCACAATCGAAGCCTTGAGGAGCTCGAGTAAGCTGGCGCACGTTGCTTTGAGCATTTTCACCGTAGTCAGGAGGTATCTTGCAGCTCACGTTGTGCCTTGGACCTGTCTTCCCCACCTAGTATACATGGCAACAATATCGGCCCAGTGGGCCTGAATGCTTTACAGGACGCCGCGCAAAATTGGCCCGGTCATCTCCAAGTTTAAGCCCTCTACAAGTTTCACATGTCATTTCTCAGCTGCTACCAACATTCAATTTACATCTGATCGACCTGGCTGCCTTTTGTGCTGTTTCTTGCTACTTGATATCGCCCACCATAACCCCCCGAACCACAGCAATTCCAGATTCTATTATAATCTTCTATCAAGAAACATCCAACATACAGACAAGTTCGCCAAGCTGCACGCGTGCATACACACTTCAAAACTCATGCGGCCATGGCATTGAGGTGCAACAGGGCAAACCAACAAATCTCGACGATTAATCAAACAAAAATGTACCAACGTTCTTCTTCCGTCTGAGTCTCAGCACATGCATCGGGCACCAATTGGGCACAAATGTTGACTGAAGCTAATGAAATAATCTTAAAGTGACCAATCCAAAGTGTAACTACTTGGGAGGAGGGCACTCCTCCAATCCTTCCAAAAAGTCAATGCATTTATCCAAGGCATCATCGGCGTTGCGATGAGAGAAGCTGAAGATTTCCCAAAGTCGCGCTTCCACGTTCTCAATCTGTCAAGATGGTTCAGCCCACAGTGAGAAAAAAACGTACAACTCGCAATCACCATGAACACGCAACAACAACAACAACAATAACAGCAACAACAACAGCAACAACAACAACAACAACAACAAGCTCTGCAGTCCTAAAGCAATATGAAATACCAAACCCAGCGTGATGCAAACTCAAAACATTCTCAAGCTGGCACGAAGCAACGTACGTCGGTCAAATGCTTTTCCAAATTCTGCAGGCGCAACTGCAATTGAGAAGCTTGGCCGGCCGATTGTGGCCGACGAAGCGGAGAGTGGTCGCGCTTACTGCTGCCACCCCTATTGCTGCGATGCATATGTGGTGCTTGATGCTGCGGCAAGTGTATGTGTTGGTGCTGGGGCAAAAATGATCCATCGGAGTAGGAAGGCACGCCAAGCACGTATTCATGCATGCCCGACTTGGGGCGCGACATGTGGGTCATGGATAGATCTGGGCGCCCGTAATGTGATGCAGCGTCTGCTTGCTGGCGCACCTCGTCGTGGTGGCGGCTCAGTGGGGAGCCTTGGCGTGCGTCCAAATGCATGGGCGACATGACTGTGTGACCGCGATTTGGAGGCCGGGGCAAGGAACCTCGCGTTGGAACAGAAGGGCCGTGGTCATGAAACCCAAAGGAGAAGTAAGATGCTTTGTCCATGCTTGAGTCGTTGCTTGACACGGATGAAGTGGTTTCAGAGCGCGTCCGTATAGGACTCTCTCGGCGCACGGCCACAATATTAGCATGAGAGCGACGCCGCGATCGACCACCCGCGTTGACGCTTCGCACACGTGTGTCCACGCCCATAGCCTCAGCTTCGTGGCGCAAATCCAACTCGACATCATCGATAGGAATGAGAGCGTTATCCTGAGCCATCTGTAGACAGGATCAGACGCAGGCCACAAGGACAAGAGTCAGATGGAGGCCAAAGACGGCAATGAGCAGGCAAGAAAGGTAATTTTTGCTCAGCAGTGCGTGGGTCTGCATGAATGCTTGACACTCACCTGGGTCGTGATTGGAGCAGAATCGTCGATGCGAAGGGAAAAGCTATACATGGAACGCTGTGCGACCATGCACAAGCATCACGCAGATCCCCAAATCGTGAGAATGCCAACGCGGATCAGCGCGGTGCGGTAGGCGCTTCTGGTCTTGATCAACCGTGACAAGTAGCGTGTTGAGAAAACGATGAACATACCCGTGACAAGCTGGGATGACGTCGACGATGAATTTTACGCCACCAAGCTTGTACCTTGTGCGTGGCCGTCAGAACCTTGACCTCCCGCTGGCGGCAGATGTCACGCACGGCTTTGCGATCACTGCTGCTCATGACCTTGAACACTTGAACCTTTAGCAATTTGCTCACAAACTGATAAGCAGGCCACGGCCAATTATCGTGTGGCAAAAAGTTGACAACACTGCGCGGGATGTTCTCGCACGGCACGAAGATCTCGGCTTGTTGAAGTTGATGAAAGTGCTGCAGGTTGGCAACGAAAGCAAGTCACATAACGCAAGGTTAAACGTCGACGGTGACTGGTGAAATATCATTGGGCTAAGCAGAATGAAACCGCCTTGACTTTATTAAGAGAACCCGAGGAATGAGCCTGCCTGGGCATGGCATAGACACGGTAACAAACATACCATCAACAACATCTCACGGTTCACCGTGCGGTGGGACACTTGGTGCATGAGAACCTCCAGCATGGCCGGTGTGAAAGAATCCAAGCTGCTGGCCGTCTGCGATATGATGGGTTGGTCATGCAGGTCAAGTTCTCGTGCAGGTGGGTAAAGCAACACGTCAACTGCGCAGCGGCAGAAGCCTGGGCCGTACCTTCACAATCAGCTGGTGATAACTGTTGAGCGTCTCGTAGATGTGCAGCGCAGCATGACGCATGCCCACCGGAGTGATAACATCCTTGAGATTTTCAGCCAACATTTCAATGCGACCGTTGCCCCATTTACGAATGGCAGCACCGTTGCCGTTGCGCAGGGCCTGAGCAGACAAAAGACTCTAGAAACACGATAATGGATGACACAACCATCCCAGAAAGCAGGGGCAGCATGCGAACCATGAGAAGGAAGGTGGGCGTGTGGGATCCGCAGGTGATCGCTGAGAGGCGAAGCCAAGATGGGGAAGATGAATACACGAGGCTTGTTGGGGCACACCTCGACTAAATCGACAATCATACGCGGATGGCCAGCGGTGCGATCATCAATCAGCTACAGATGGGAAGGAAAAGAAGAGGATTGCCAGGGTGAGTAACGGTGATGGCATAGTTTGCGCATTTCCACGAGCGGCTCGGGTCGGAAACAACGAGGCAACAACTACTCTGCGAGCAAAACGTACCTTCACTAAAGAAGGTGGCAAATCGGCCGGCCGCACAACCACGCCACTGGGCTCGGCGTTGCTCAAGACGGTCGCCGCCCATTTCAGACGAGTTCGCTCAGAAAGCAACCGCAGGTCTAGACGGGTGTTGGTGCGCTCTGCAAATTTGATCAGGTCCAGCACCTCCACGCGCTTGCACGTCTCCAATGGGTTGGAGAGCACAAACAAAATCAAAGGTTGTAGCAACTGTGCAAAGGCAAAAAAAAAAAAAAAAAAAAAAAAAAAATTGAAGCATGTGTAAGTTTGAGGCATGCATGGCCAAGACTTTGGTGCAGGTAAAGACCACACGTGCTGGCCGATCATATTTGAAAATGAGCGTACGTGATCTTCACGGGAGTCGCAGAGTCGAGCCAGTTCGTAGAGGAGCAACCAGCCACCATCGTGTGCAACATCCACCGAGTTGTGAAAAAGTCGCATCACAAGAAAAGTAGGATACTCGTCGGCGTAGCTGGTGACGATCCGAGCCACGATTCGCACAACCAAGACGTCGTTGATGGACACCTCGGGAAGCTGCAGACAACACACAGCCAGGCACATCAGCACTTATCCAAGCCCCAGCTAACAGCGTACATGAACTGCGTGCACACATACCTCGCCCATAGGAAGATCCTCCAAGTGACGCCACAGGCTGATAGGGATGGCTTTGCAGCCAACCAAGCTATGGTGTGACCAATTAGGGACAGACCAACAATAAGAAGAAGGGAGCAAGGAAGACACTGTCTGATTGTAAAAGCGCACACGCCACACATCATAAACACCGACGCACTCTTCGCTTTCTCGATCATTTGGGGCAAGCATGGTTTCAATCCACTTCTCCACGTCAATATCCTTCTTTTTCAGATTGGTAAAAAGCTATGCCAAAACGCGTTGTTCCAATCAAAAAGCGTCCGTTGGTGAGACGTGCACAAGTAGCGCGCCCATCAGTCTCATCAGGCCACGACAAACCTGTTGAAGGATGGCAGCGGCGTATTGCCACTTTTCATCGCTCACGAGAACCATATGTCGTGGGCCAGCATGCTCGCCCTGCGTCTGCTTTCGACGCTGCGCCTGGTCTCCCACGCGCAACATGGCGCGCTGATCACTGGGAGCAATTACCACGTTCATCCCACGGTCGCGGGCGGCTGCAGCCAAGCACAGACAAATTGATCGGCAACACACACACACATACATGTGAGTTGCATGTTCAAAAAGAAAGCCGTGCATAGACTGGAGCCCTTGCAGCCCTTGCCAGCATGGGATGAGGGCATTCTTGAGTAACCATGCGATAGAGTCAGACTGGAAAGCACGTGGAACGAAGCAGAGCTAGATGTCCAACGTACAGCGCATCAAAGCTGCCGCCAGTGGGGTTTTGCCGTAGCCGGGTTGTGCGGTCAAAAGGATTGTTCCCCCCTGTACGCCCAGGAGCAAGCCAGAAGACGACGTGAGTTGCGGAATGAGGGCGGCGTTGAGGCCTGAAAAAGCCCGCGAGGCTGGGTTGGCATTTCGAGTAGGCCCAAAAAAGCGGTGACCAAGCAGCTGCCACGCACGCTATGATTATAAAGACGTCCGAGCCAACCGCGAAGGGTTTCCAGCTCGTCTTCGCGACCTGCCATGTACGTGTCTTCTTCCAGACGATCATCATGATCGCTCTTGAGATAGTCAGAGAGGATGCTGGAGCGGGGGGCTGGTTGAAAGGCTGGCACGGGGTGGGCCTTGCCCTTGAGTGTCAGGGGCTGCAGCGTTGTAAATTCAAAGTCATCTCCAGCATATTCAGCCACCACGGCCCGCGTGGCCTCATCGATCAAAACGCCTGGACACGACAAGGCCAAGACCAGTGAGCGGCGCGCAAAGTTTAGAGCGACGGGGCTAGTGCTGCACGACGAGAAGACAAGTGTCCATACTTGATGCCGTGGCCTTGGCCATGAGGCGTGCCGAGAGGTTGACGGCATCGCCAAGAACGGTATATTCATGGCGTTCCTTGGAGCCAACAACACCGCAGAAAACACGGCCGGTGGTCACGCCAACACGCGCAAACACGTGATCACCCAGATTACTGTCCCCCATTCGTTTGCACCAGAGGTCGCGGTCGTGAGAAGGTCTGATAGTTGGCGGACGGGCATGATTGGCGGCGAAGACACAATGTGTACCTGATACCAGCTGCCAAGTCAAGGGCGGCACAGACGGCGCGAACGGGATCATCGCCATGATGCACAAAGGGAGGAAGGCCAAACACACAGAGTGCTAGTAGACCCTTGTCGTCCACAAGAAGCTTGTTGATGACACCCTCGTAGTTGAAGATGACGCGCTGCAACTCGGTCATGAGCCGCTGGCCAGCCGCCACGGCCTATGGACGAAAAGGATGGTGCTTTGAGCTGGCTCAGCTTCGGGAGCCAAGACAATCCAAACGAGACAAACCTCTTTGCAGTCGCCACTTGGAGACGGTTCTAATCGTAGCCCGCGAATGTTGACAAAGACAATGGAGAGCTGTCCATACCCAGCGTGGTGAGTCAGTGACGAGGCAAAACAATAGGCCTCAACGGCGGCGGCGGCGGGCACGTACAGTTCGCAGTTCGGCGATATGCTCCGCTGTGGAGGCTTCAAGGCGAACACGGGCAACTTTTGGGATGTAGCGAGCCATGTACGGCACCAAGCTGGTGGTTACCGGGAGCACAGGTGGAGTGCAGTCCGTGATCACGTGCTCGGTATCGACTGAGCGCAGCTTGACAAAACGCTTTAGGTAGTCAATGTCTATTTCAACACCGCTGTATATGAGCCTCGGCCCGCATATTCGAGCAACCGGGATGGGCGCATGGTGGATCCATGGTCACGACGTGGAAGGCGGATAGGCAGGCACCAAACCTGAGAAGCCATCAGCGCTGGCATCCACGACCGGATTTGTCAAGGGATCCACCTCGACCAGATCCCCGAGCAAGTCGTGACTCTCTGCATCATTAGAAAGGACACGGAAGCCATGAGTACGCATGCACGTGTGTATGAGATCCAAACGCATGGGATCAAAGCGGCAGCTCGCTCGCTTCCCTGGCTTCAGGATACGAGTCAGCAGACCGAGTACCGACCTGGAGATAACACGACCTCGCCTGCGATGCTGTTGGCCTCTGCAATTGCAATTTGCTTGAGTGGTTGGCCAGCCAGAACGTACTCCCAGCATTTGAAGACGCCGCCCACATGGATGGCAGCCAGCTTGCCCACCTAATCATTTTTTTTTATATATATATTGATAAAAATAGGGTGAGACGAACAAAAGAGATGGTGGATACCATGAAAAGCAGCCGACTTACGCCAAGACCCATGTGAAGGTTCAAGTAATGAGTGTCATTCCCGTCACTTGTGTGGGCAGGCCAAGGACAAAGCTTGAGAAGTTCAAGTGCACAAGCGGCGGCTTGGGTGGCCGCCTGTTGTAGGTTGCGACAGCCGTTGTTGCTTTTGGGATTGGCAGCCCAGGTGACGGTGACAGCATCACCTGCAAACTTGACGACATCACCACCGTAGGACTGTGGAGCGGGCATTGAGTGAGAGAAGGGGCGCAATTTCATTCAGGCAAAGGAAACAATATGAGAAGGTAGGGCGAGGGACCCTGTGCGTACATGTGCCGTGCCGATGAGTTGTGTGAAGAACTGGTTGATCACGCGACACAAGTCTTCGGCGCCGCTGTCATGGGCCTCCTCATCGTGAAGAAAGTTGTCCTCGTACTTGGCAGCAAGTCTCTCCGTGAGTGCCGTAAAGCCACTGCAGTCAGTGAAGAGGACGGCAGCTTCATAGACCACGCCGCACTCACGCTCGATGCCCATGTGTACGTTCTCAGCGAGAAAAGTATGAAGTTGGTGTGAGAGGAAGGGGCGGTACGGGGGGGCCTTGAAGGCAAATTGGTGAGCGATGGAGACCAAACGGATTGACTCCTTAATCTTGAGCCAGTGCTGTTTAGCCCGGGAAGAGCGGCGGGCACTGAGTGTATCGCTACCAGGCGGTGGTGTTGTGGGAGGTGGCGGCCCTCCTTCCTTGACAACTTCGGAAGCAGCAGTCGGGGGTGGATTACTGGTTGCCACCCCAATGACCGCGGCTCGGGCCGGGGCGGCGGCGGAGTCGGCCTCTTCTTCTGCCGCTTCGGAGGACAGGCGTCGTGTTGGGCCTGAAGCTAGATTTGAAGCGGGGCAGTTCTGGGCGGGCGAGCTGGTGGGCGAGGAGGTAGTACCTGCGCCACTGCCAGCGCCATTCCCGAAAGTAAACTGCACGCGCGAAAGGCGCTGACGCCGTGGTGCCGGCTCCTTGATAGCTTGGGCCTTGGCAGTGGTGGCGACTTCGTCGCTCGGGGGCGCGGGTTGCGGTGGGACGACAACATGGCTGCTGCGTTCGAGAGAACGACGGCGGCTCTCGGCGGCCAGCGTGGCAGAGTCGGGCAGTGAGGCGCCGCGAACAATGTGCTGGGAGTCCATGATATCGTGGCCGTTGTTGGTGAGGATGCTCGGCGCGGGAGGTGCACTGACACGGCGGGAGGTGGATAAAACGGCGTCAGTATGTTTGGAGGGACTGGCGTTGAAAGCGACAGGATCACGACGCACGGCCCGAGGAGGACCGTGCGCCAGAGGGCCAGTCCCCACGAGGCCACCCTCAGAGTCCAGTGCGCCGTTGGGTCGAGGAGGAGAAATGGGGCGGGCTTCCATCACGAGGGCGGCGGCTTTGGGGTTGATGGGTGAAGTGGGGGTTGGATGAAAACCGTTGCGATTTGCGGTGGGTGATTGGGAAGCTGAATTGAGCTTTGGAGCCACGGCTGATGATGCGGGTGCGGCCGCTGATGCGGCTGTAGCGTTGCTCTCTGCGGGATTTTTGCTGGCGGCTTTTCCATTGCCGTTCATGCGATGCTGAACAGCAGGGTGATGGAAGGCACCGGCTCGCGCCGCATGCCGGCCTGCCGCAGCCTCGGAGAGCTTTTGCAGCATGGGTGTGGGGCCAGCGCGTGGCCCGTTTCGCGGGGGCATGGGTGCAGAGACGGAAGGGTCACCCACATCTATGTCAGCTTGCAGCATGATGGGAGGCACGGCATCGGAGAGGAAGCGGGGCCGCGGAGCCTCTGCGTTGGGCCGGATGGTCGTTAGTTTGGTGCCCCACATGATTGTCTGAGTGGTACAACTGGCCACGACAACGCCAGAAGAAGGACTCAAGTGGGGGTGGGGCGTGCCCCAGATTGCAGGACGAGAAGAAAAAGTCGAATCAGGTTTTGTTTTTTCTTCAGGTCGCTGAGGCGCTAGGCACCATGGCGGGATTCCGGCGTCGCCAAGGACTGCAAAGGTAGGCAAAGCTTGGACGGGTGCAAAAAAAAAGGGGGGGCTCTTCTTTCAGCGACTGGTTGACAAGACAAGCCTGCTCCTGAAGCAGCTATCCGGCAGCAGGCAGGGCCACGCCAAAGGCAATGAGATGATCAGTTGCAGGACATGGACACGGTGCACGGTGCAAGGGTTGTTGTTGCCGTTGCTGGTTGTTGGTGTGTTGTTGCCCGAGTGGCGAGAGAGGGACGTCAGTCAGTGTGTGGGCACACCGCGCACCAGGATTTGTATGACACAGAGGCAAGACGACAGGCTCGGGAGGAATAATGCAGCCAAGAGCAAAAGTCCGCGCACAGGGGAGGAGACGGTCAACAAACGCACCCACAGATGGACGGACAGGCAACCAGTCAAAAGTGATTAAAAAAGTGGTAGCAGTGTGTGGGAGAACCAGAGCGTGAATGGCGGGTGGAGTTGGGGATGATGGAATGACGCGAGAGAGCGAGAGAGAGAGAGAGAGGAGGGAAAGCCATCAGAGGGCGGACATGAACCAGGACGTGAATGTCAAGGGAAGGGGACAACGAGGGATAGTGGTTAAGCTTTGACGTGAATGCTCGACGCACAAGGGGAGGGGGCACAGAGGAGGAGGGGGCGGACAGAAGCAGGGAGGTGAAGCGGACACGACAAATGATGTTGCAAGGTCGGGGCACAACGCGCGAGTTGGCAACGGGGTGGGTTGTGGGTGTGGGTATGGCACCAACTGGGTCTGCTTCGGTACGAGACGCCAAGGCAACCAGGAACACGGCGCTGTCAAGAGGTGCCGATCGGCTGCCATATCAAGTCGCTTCTTACCTCATCAAAGGGCACAGCCACCAAATCACACACACAGACACACACACCCGTCTACTCGACAAGAAGCGCCAACAACCGTCTCTCTTCCGTCAGGTCCACCCTTACCAACGGTATCAGCGAGAGGGACAGAGACACACACAGGGAGAGAGAGAGGAGGGGGAAGGGAGCGAGAGCGGGGACGGGAGGCTTTGAAAGAGAGAAGGCAGGGGCGGAGGGGAAGAGAGGGAGCTAGGCAGCAGGGCCAAGCAGCCGAGGTGCCAACGAGCCAGCAGCAGTAGCAGCAGCAGCAGAGCCAGGGGTCCCCAACCTTACCAGTGAGACAGAGAGAGTAAAGCAAGTGTGTGTGTGTGTGTGTGTGTGTGTGGTTGGATACAACAAAGTTCTTTTGTTTGCTCTTGATTAACATGTCTCTCATTTCTCTCTATTCTCTGTCTCAGATCTCTCTCTCTAAATCTCTTAGAGACTTGTCTTTCTTTCTCTCTCTCCTTCCATAGAGCTGAGTCCGGGCGTCGAGCAGAGATGAGTGTGCGGCTCCCTTGAAGGGGGTTCGATTACTAACGCGACTCGGACAAGACTTGAGGAGACATATTCACTCGCCATTCATCACGACACAAAAGTCTCTAGCCAAGCCACAAGCCACAATCATGGTGGTCGGCCTTCACCGCCGACCTCACTCCACCTCACACTATCTCACACTACCGTGCGGACATGGGTGGCAGGATGGCCCAGGATCACTGGGAAAAACCATCCACCTCAGACAGCATCAAATTGCATCAAACCGCAACAGTTCAGGGGGCAGACAAAAAGCCCACTTTTTCAAGGCACAGCCAGGCAAGAAGCGGAACGACTCCGTATCGATGAGGGAATGTGGGACCCAGCAGCGCCGAGTTTATTCTTCATCGTCCGAATCAAAAGTAATCCGCTTGGCCTCCTTCATGGGTGGCCCGTTGTCGGCCTTAAAGTGCGCGCCGTACAGGGCGTGCTCCTTGCGCTTGGTGTGCTGCCCAAACTTCATCAAAGCCTCGGGCACCTCGACATCGGCCTCGCGCAGAACATTGCCCAACGCTCCTGCATGCGCTTTGTCGTGCTGGGTAAAAAAGGTATAGGCAATACCCGTGGCACCGGCACGCCCCGTGCGACCAATGCGGTGCACATAGTCCTCAATCGTCAGCGGAAATGTGTAGTTGATGACGACAGCCACCCCCTTGACATCGAGGCCACGCGCGGCCACGTCCGTGGCAATGAGGATGTGTGAATCGCCAGATTTGTAGGCCCGAAGAGCTGCCTCGCGCTGACCCTGCACGCCGCCAAAACATGTCAAATGAGCGCATGAGATCGGAATGATCAACCCTTGCATGTGGCAAGACTGCACGCACGCACCTGGTTCAAGTCACCGTGCATGCCCACAACATTGTATGACTTGCGCTGCAGAAAGCTCTCCAACCGCGCAGCCTCCTTCTTGTACAGGGCAAAAATCAGTACCTAAGCCACCAGATCCCACCCCCCAGCCACGCCATACCGACAACAATTGCATCCATATCAGAGACGGGTGTGCTGTGCTGTGTGTCGTAAGCCTCGGACATGGAGATACCAAGCACGCATCGCGGGCCCACCTTGGCATTCTTGGAGGCGGGGTGCTTGCGAAGCACATCGAGGAGGCGGCGATCCTTTTCCATGGGCTCGACCACATCGACCACCTGCTTGACATTGCGGTTGGCTGAGAGCTCCTCAGAGCCCACGGTCACCTGTCAAGGAGCAGCGCCCGGCCCGACCAGGGCAAGCCGTTGGAAAACTAAGTTATGACATGGCACGGTGTCCACACCCTCGTCGGTAGGCCCAACCAAAAGGCGGCAAGGTCTGGCACGCCCGCCTGGAGAAATCACAACGAGTTGTCAGTGCATCATCGATACGTACCCGCAGCGGGTTTTTCATATAGTTGGCGGCAATGGCGCGCACTTCCTCGGGCCACGTTGCGGAAAACATGAGCGTTTGTCTGCCAGCATGTCAGGCCGAGTGGGGGTCAGAAACAAGCCGAGAAATAAGCAGATGAGAAGGAACAGAATTAATAAAATAACATCAAAGACAGTTGAGGGCAACAGGCCATTCATGGAACAGACCGTTGGGTGCCCACGGCGCCAAGAATGAGCTTGATATCGCGTTCAAATCCCATGTCAAGCATGCGATCGGCTTCATCGAGGACAAGGTAGGAGACATGGCTGAGATCAAGCTTGCCGTCGTTGAGAAAGTCCACCAAACGGCCCGGGGTGGCGATGACGAGCTCGCAGCCTTGACGAAGGGCGGTGAGCTGGTCGCGCTTCGAAGCACCACCGTACACGCACACGGCGCTGATCTGGTTCAAACTCTTGACAGCATCTTGAGCAACCTTGTTGATCTGAAGGGCGAGTTCGCGGGTTGGGGAGAGGACGAGAACGCGGGGGCAGTTGGTTTTGCTGCGACCAAGACCCTTGACGTGCTGGAGGGCGGGAAGGGTAAAGGCCAGAGTTTTGCCGGATCCCGTTGCGGCCACGCCGACCAGGTCTTGACCCTGGACGACAATAGGCCAGCAGCAGCTCTGAATGGCAGTGGGCTTGTCAAAGCCCTTGGTGCAGGCCATGAGGTCGGCATCGACGCCTGCGTCGGCAAAGGTCATGGCCGGAGGGAAGGCGTAAGCGTCGTGACCCTCGCCAGCTTCAATGGTGACGTTAAACTCCTTCCAGAGCGCATCAATGGCTTTGCGGTCGGCCTTTTTCACTGATGGCGTGGCACCAGCTGCGGGAGTCGGGGCAGCCGACGCGGCTGCGGGGGTGGTCTTGGCCTTTTTGTCCTTTTTGTTCTTCTTCTCCTTCTTGTTCTTCTTCTCCTTCTTTTCCTTCTTCTCCTTCACCTCGACAGGGGCGTGTTCATGGACGTGTTCGTGATCCGCGGCCTTGGCGCGCTTGGCCTCGGGGGCAGCGGCAGCCGACGCCGCGGTGGATGCAGCCTCAAGCGCCTGGCGTTTTTGCTTCTTCTCCTTCTTGCTCAACTTGCGCGCCATCTGAGCGCCATCCTGAGGAGCCGCCATTCTGACAAGACCTAGATTGAGAGAGCCCCCCACACGCGCACCAACACAGGGACACACTGTGAGCGTGCACCCGCACGCAAATTGTCCATCAGCATGTGCGCCAGATGGCGCGGCGCGTCCATCCGTCCATGCGTGCGTGCTTCCCAAACCAGCAAGCACGACCAAACGGCAACCACGATCCCACGCACCCTTTGGGCTCTTCTTTCACGTGCTGCACCAGAAAACAGGTATAGACCAAGACGAGGGGAAAGGCGCGGAGACGAGAAGAAGAACCTGATTCTAAAACCTGCTGATCAATCGCCTCCCGAGCCAGCCGCTCTCTGCCAACTGCGCGCCCCCGACACACACGCACACACACACGCGCGCGCGCTCTCTCGCTCTCTCTCTCTCTCTCTCTCTCACACACATAACACGTGTGTGTGTGTGTGTGTGTGTGTGTGTGTGTGTGTGTGTGTGTGTGTGTGTGTGTGTGTGTTTTGGCTGACAATTTCTAATATTGTCAGCATGTGTGATTGAGATGAAGGAGGGGAAAAAGCAATCAAGTTTTGAGCGAGGTGTATTTCTAGACTGATAAAAGTTGCTATGTTTAGAGGATTTGCGGTGCGATATCGTCGTCATCACCCTGACACTGGTCCTTTGCCTCTCGGTCTCTCCAATCTCTGAATCCCTCTCGTCGTCTCTCAAAATCTCTGAATCCCTCTCGTAAATCGCTTCTATCCTCTCTTCATCCCTCTCAAGTCCTCTCAAAATCTCTCCTCAAAACCTCTCTTCCCTCTTCTCTCTCTCTCAAAAACTCGACTCTTTGGTTTTTTCTCTTTTTCTAGATCTCTCTCTCTCTCTCTCTCTCTCTCTCTCTCTCTCTCACTCTCTCACGGATCAAAATGGGTACGTCGCTCTCTCGGTTTCGTGCTCTCTCTCGCGGCTTCGGTGCCTGGCAGAAACGGCAGCGTCGTTTGGCAAATGCATTCATGGTTTGGAGAATGAATCAAAAGGGCAGCCAGGATCCATATGTGTTTTCGTCATTCACTTGCTGAGCAATGGCAACATGAGACCAATACATCAACACCAGAGCCCCGCCCCTCCTCGTTCACTGCTCTCGTCACTCGCTCTCACCGGCACGAGAGAGGCGAGAGGGAACGAGAGAGGCGAGAGGGAATGAGCGAGTGCGGGGCGCACGCGGCCTGATCTACCTTGGTCTCCATCGTTGATCCATCCTCACCCCACCTTCTTCTCCAATTTTTGCTCGGATCCGCGACGTAGCTGCCAAGGGTTTCCCCGGTCTTGATAGCTTTGAAGATGACGACATCAGCACCCAGCCGTATGTCCTGTTTGCCATGTGTCTTCCCGCCGATCCCGCAAGAGCCTGGTTCCCCGGCCATGGTCGTCCCAGCCAGGGGCAAAGATGCCTCGCCATGCATCCACCTGGCCTTGTCGGGGCGACTCGCTTGCTTTGCGTTCCCTTGACCACCCCCCGCCCATATCCTCACACACCCGCCGCGGCATCCGATCATGTAGCTGGAACTGGGGTCGCATCAGCCGCGAGGAGGCTGTCAAGGAGCTTGCCGGCAAGCCCGTAAGTTTGACCATGGCGTCTGTGCCACCCCGCATATCCGACTTTTTTGGAAGCCAAGTCACCCGATCTTGCCCTGACATTCCGTTCCCACAGGAGGGTACCTTCCTTGTTCGTCTGAGCCAGACTCAGGACGACGCCTACTCCATCTCTGTGGTGTACGTCCTTGACCCTTGTCTTTTTCTTCAGTGCATCCCCAGCCACAAGCCGCTCTAGCCAATTTGACTGCATCTCTTGGGCTCACACCATGCAATTCCCCGTGACCGCTCCGATTCTTCCCGGCTGTTTTTTGTCCCTTTTTGAGCAGCCAGGACGGCCAAGTCCGCCACATTCGCGTCATCTCCACTGATGAAGGCTTTTGCATCAAGTGAGTACCCCCGCTTTCACACCCACCCATAATAACACGCACGCGCACACATACCTACCATGCCGGCCCGACCAATGGACCGCGTCGCTGACCTCTTCTTTCACCCGAATCCCACCCACGCTTCGATCCGTAGCAAGGCGGATGCGCCCTGCAGGACAATCGCCGAGCTTATTGCCGAGAAGCAAGGCGAGAAGATCAAGAGCAAGTGCGTAGCCACGCCTTTCCTGCCGCGCCCTGGTCCCTTCAACTCGCGCTGGTCCCAATGCCCAGTGCTGTTGGCCTCACCATCTGCTTTCTCCCATGACCCGACTCAGGCTTCAAGGCGAGAATGCTAAGGAGACCGTGCTTCTCCGTGACCCCCTCCCCTATCAGGATGATGACGACATTGCCTTTGACGGCAAGGGCTTCATCAAGAGCTAAATGCTCTTGCCTCTCTTCCCACTGGCCGGTTTCCTTCTTCCCTCCTGTTGTTTTGGTCCGCAGCCCTTGCCCTGATCCCAACCCCGTCAAATACACCGCCTTCATCTTTTATGCTGTTGGTGCTTGCTTCTGCCTCCCCTCGTCCTTCCAATGGCCCATTGGGCCTTTCCCCTGGTTATCGGGCCTCCCTTCCTCTTCCTCTGCTCTTCTGCCCACATGTGGCCAAGTCCTTGGTGCTGTTGTCAATAGAATCTTGGTGTTATACCGCCCCTCGGGTTGCACTACTCAATCTCAGAATCAATTCGGGTTCAGGCCACACCGCCTGTGGGGGTTGCACGCACACAGGCAGGCATACCCAAAGCGATGCGCCGCCCACAAGCAGATTTGGGAGGTCAAACAAAAGCAAGAATGAGGGAATCACAAGAGTATAGAGAGTGAAGATGAAATCAAAAACCTAAAAGACTTAATGGAGAGTGGACCCCAAACAGACGCCCACCCAAAACTCAAGAGGAAGGCAAGAAAAGGCAAAGATCACGCGATTGTGGCTCAAGCTATGCCTCCGAGGTGGCCTTTTGAATCGACGAGTAGAAGGAGGACTGCCGAGAAGCGCGCGCCGCCGTGGGTGCCGCGGCAGTCGTCTCCAGCGTCTTGTGTGCCATCATTTCATGCATGCTACAAGGTTATGGTCAGGCAACATTGGCAAATGAGCATAGCAACTTGAAAACTGTTCCCCGCCAACCCGTTCGACATCGACGTCCCTCTCTGGTCCTCTACCATCCCCGTACTCGAACCACGCGACAAGTACTTACTTGGTCCAGTCGTCGTAAATATCGTAATCTTTGGTCAGAGATGAGCCCTCACCCGAGGAGATGTCCATACCACCCTGACGACGGCGCCGCACAACCGCGATGCCAACCGCGACAATGACAATCACGATGCCACCGGCCACAGCGGCAATGATGATGACCAACGTGGTGTCATCGTTACTCGACTCCTCCCCCGTCGACTGCTCGCCGCCGACCGGATTCGATGATGACTGCGGCCCTCCATTGGACGGCGTCGTGGTTGTCGTTGTTGTCGTTGAGGTTGTGGTGCGACGGCGCGTCGTGGTCGTCGTGGTCGTGGTCGTGGTCGTCGTCGTCGTGGTTGTGGTCGTCGTCGTCGTCGTCGTCATCTTCACCGCTGCCAAGTCTGGGGCACTCTGCTCGCTGAACGGATTCTCACTGCTCGTGGGCTGCTCGTTTGCGCCCGAACGAATGGCCGGGTTTTGAAGCTCAGCAACCAGTTCGTCAGTGTCATCCAACATGGCAGCGGCCTCGCCCTGGTTCAAGCTCGTAGGTAGCTCCACAATCACGTCCACGACTTGGTTCAAGTCGCGACGACGCGTGTCAACAGCCACCACGCCCACGCGCACCTCATCCATGTCCACGGCCGAAATGAAGAGCTTTCGCACAGCGTTGATGAAAATTCGCCGCGCAAGCGTGTTCTGAGTCAGATCCTGCGTGCCCCCCACATTGGTCAGCTCGAAGGAGCGCCTCAAGAAGAAACGGTTGGCCCCAGGAAGAGCGCGGATCGGACCACATGTGGCATCGCGACGCGAAGACGGCGCCTGAGATTCCATCTGTCCCGACGCGCAGGCGGTCCAAGCAAAGCAGGTCGGTGCACCATCGATGCCATACGTGCCAAAGGGACATGCTTTGCACTCGGTTGGCTGTGTGGGGCCTGTCACGCCGCAGTAGGTCGCCACATGCTCGTCGTCCGCACAGCTAGCACAAGGCGTGCACGTAACGGTTGTGACGCCATTGGCGCAGCCACCCGTGCGATAGGAGTTGTCCTCGCACGTGTTGCAGGCCGCGCATTGGCGATCCGTGGTGCTGGTGGGCGATGCCGTTTCGACGCTAAACGCCCCACATGATCGCAGGGGCGTACACTCAATGTCCGAGGTGGTTGTCGCTGGGCCGGACTGGTATGAACCGGCGGGGCAGGCGGAGGAGACCGGCTTGCAGCTCGCGGCCCCCGCTTCATCCTGATAGGTCGTGCCCTCCACGCAAGCCGTGCACACCGCGCCGTCAGAAGGCCATGCCCAAGTGGAACCAGCGCAGTAGAGCCTGGGGCTGTCCGCCGCATACCCGGCCGCACAAGATACGGCACAGAAACTGCCAGCTCCATTGCTGGCGGTGCAGTCGGTCGTGCCGATGCCTTCAAAGTCGCTCTCCGACACCCCCGCGCTGCAGGTGCGGTACTCGCACGGGAAGGCAGAACCAGTTTCCCAGCCATCGGCGCCGCACCGCACGAGCAAGGCCGACGTGTTGACGTAGCCCACTTCGCAGGACACATCGCACACGGTCCCAAAGGTGGTGGCTTCGCAGTCCACCTCGGCGTTGGTGATTGTGGGCTGGGTACCGCAATCCTTGGGCGTGCAACCTGAGCTACCAATACCATCGCCTTCATACCCGTCGGGACAAACGTCGCACGCAAAGGAACCCGCCAAGTTTTGGCAGCCTACACCCGGATAGCAAGGATCATCCACACACTCATCGTCGTCGATGCAGGTCCCATTGGGTGCTTGGGTATAGCCCGAGGGACAGGGCTCACACTCGTAGGTTCCATTCAGGTTGACGCATTCACGCAGCGCCGGGCAATATTGAGCAATGCCGGCGCGTTGCTGCGCGCACTCGTCAATGTCCCGGCACACGCGACCTTCCTGATAGGTCGTGTACCCTGTCGGGCAGTTGGAGCAGGAGACCACACCGCTGGCAAAGGAGCAGTTGCTGAGTGGATCGCACGGACTATCCGCGCACAGGTCTTGGAGCTCGCACGTCAAGTTGCCCTCCCAAGAGCCGTCACCGCCGCAAACGAACGTATTGGAAATGCCGTCCGGCACGACATAGTGCGTCCTGCAGCGCTGGACGCAGGTCGCGCCGTACGCCACGTTGACGCAGGCATCATTCCGCGCATTGGCATCCAAACCGGGGATGGTAGTCGGGCACACCACCTCCTCGCATGTGTAGCCATCGCCGGTGTAGCCCGCGGGGCAAGGATCACACGTGTACGTATTGGATTCGGTGCCCGGATGGCAGAGTTCGGGCAAACCGCATGGCCCCAGCAGGCAGGCATTGACGTAAGCAGTAGTGGTGCTCGTGGTCGTGGTCACATCCAGGGAACTGCAAGCATTGTCAGCAAAGGTGCAATCGTCGCGTGCAGTGCATTCGCTGGAACTGAAGATGTACGTGCAGGGCACATCTGCGCCGGTGTTAACGCAGACATCGTAGGCATCTCGCCATTCGCATGTCTGAGTCCGCCCGTCGTTGTCGTGGGTACAGGAGGTCGCGGTGGGCAGCGCTTGGCACGGGGTCTCGTGTCCGGCCGCGAAGCACTCCTCCTGGTAGGCGTCGTAGACACATGCGTCGAGAATCTCACAATAGAAACGAGAGGAGACAAGGCCGCAGTCCCGCTGCTCACAGGAATTGGTCCCGAACGAGCTGCAGTAGTAGGCTGGACACTCGGCGGCACTGAACGAGCTACAGGCCGGAAGGTCTGCGGGAGCGGCGCACTCGGTAGGATCGCTGCACGGCTGACAGCCCTGGCTCGAGTCGTATTGGCAACCGCCCACAAAGGTACAGGCGGCCTCCGTCTGGTAGACCATGCAAGGAACGGTCGAATTGAGGTCGTAACAGCGGTTTGCATACACGTTGAACGTACAGGTGGGGTCTTCCGCGCAGCGCGTCTCATCAGTGTACAGATGGCAGTCAACGGGATCTTCTTTACCCAGGCACTGCTCAATAGCATCGTAGTAGATGCAGCGCGTGTCGGGGCACGAGGCCGCATCGTAGAGGTGGCAGGGTGTGGCCTCGCCCTGCACATTGCAGAAGGCACGAGCGCTGTCCCATTGGCAGTCCTCCGAGGCGGCGCAAGTGGCAGCGATGGTAATTTCGTTACACGGATCGGGGGCGGTGGCATTCTTGCAACGCCCACCTTGATCGTCCACGTTGTCGACAAACACACAGGTGCCCTGAAGAAAAGTGGTGCATTCCTCTGCCAGTGTAAGGGCGTCGCACGTCATTGGCGCGCAGGTGTCAAAGCCGCCATAAACGTTGGTTGTAGGCACGCAGCGGGGCAGTGCAGCCAGGCAGGCCGCGTTGGAAGTGAGTTCAGCGCATGGTGCGCCGCTATCGACGTCGGTGCACTGGCGACGGGTAGAGATGTAGTTGCATGACTTCTGATCGCAAGCACAGCGCTCGTCGCCCAGGTCAAAACAGGACACGGGAGCACAGGTGTCGTTGCCGTCCCAGCGGCAAAGCGGGGTATCGGCACCACACGTATCGCCGTCTGATATGCCGTTGCAGTTGGCATCGTAGGTTGGACAAGCCTGAACACAGGAGGCGCTCTGGCCAGCAGCGCAGGGCGAGCACTGCAGGCCCGAGCTATTATAAGTGCAGTAGTCGCTGTAGAGGCAGTCGTCGCGAGCGAGGTACATGCACGGCAGGCTCTCATTGATGGCCAGGCAGTAGGCGCCATTTGCAACGAAGCGGCAACGATCGCCGTGGCTGAGGCAGCGTGCTTGATCGCCGTTATACACCTCGCAGCTGCTGGCCGTGTCAGGGTCCGTGCAGAAGGATAGATCCTCGACAAAGCTGCAGTAGTCGGGGCAAGAGGCCGCAGTGCCGTAGTACGTGCAGGGCACTTGCTCGTCTTGGTCAAAGCAACGGTCAGCCTCTTGGCTAAATTTGCAGTTCAGGGAGCTTGAGTTGCACACGGCCTCAGAACTGAGATCGCTGCAGCGGAGGTCTCGGCAAGCTTCGTTGTCAACGCCCAGCGGGAAGCAGCGTGTTTGAGGACAGGCCTCAACGCTGTAGCTGTCGCACGCTTGGCTGGTGTCAACGGGCGAGCATACTTCGCGATCGCTGAGCCAACTGCAGTCGGCCTTGTTTTGGCAGGCGGACTATTGCGAGATGAACACGCCAAAACACGAGGCGTGAGTTCGTTCGGAGGCAGTAAGACTGATTTGAGCGGGAAGGAAGAAAAAAAAAAAAAAAAAAAAAAAAAAAAAAAAAAAAAAAAAAAAAAAAAAAAGTCGTTGTTTCATACCTCGGAATAGCGCTCGTAGCAGTACTCTTCGCGACAGGTACCGTCGTTGGTGAGATCGTCCCAGATGCAAGCGTCGACGCAAGCTTCGGGACTGAAGCGCTGTTCACACGGCAAACTAGGATCTATGTGTCATTGCCAGAATCAGGCCGAGGAAACAAAAGTTGTGTGGCTATGTCCAAAGAATAATCCGAGGCAATCTTGACGTACCGATGGTGGTGACGGGGGCAGCGGTAGTGGTCGGACATTCGCCCTCACGATGACATTGGTTGTCTGAGGTGCAAAACTCGCAACTGGGCTCGACCGAACAGTTGACCTCGGGCAGGCCCGGGCACACATTGGGCATCGCCGTGGTCGAGGGTGTGGCGCTAGCGTTTTGACACATGTTTTGGGCATACGTGCAACCCAAGTCGGTACACCACTCTTCCTGCGCAAATGGCACGGATAAGAAGATGAGGAACCCAGTGGCCGCGGGGGGAGGGCAAAGGGAGGTGGGTGCAGGGTACGGGCGACATTTGGCATTTGGTCACTGACCGTTACGACAGAAGAGCATTCGCGGGGTTCACAAGCGGTGGCGCCGTCCTGACAACGGACAGGGCAGGCCCCGTTGGCGAATTCAGAGCAAGACTTGCTGAAATCGTCTGGGTCATGCGCAGGAGGGAGGGGGTGAGTTGGCTTGACTCGGGACGGGAAACGTCGACGAACAGGCGGTGGTCCGTCGACGATGGATAAGGGAAGGAATGGAAAGCGCGCGAGCGCAAACCTTTTTGAAAGCACTGGCCGTAGTTTGCGGAACAATCGGCGTAATCCTCGCACATGGCAGCTCCGACATTCGCGCAGGCGGGGTCCTCACAGGCGTTGGTGTCGGGATTTACGCTGCACATCATACTAATGTTGGCACAAATATGGATGGGGTATTTGGATTAAAACCAAGGTATTGGCAAGGCAGGGTGCGGGCGGGGCCGGGATAAGATGAATCCTACCTGGGACATTCAGCAGAGGAGTACTGGTTGCAGTCTTTGACGGGCTTGGGGCAAGTGCCCGAGTACTGAGCCAGGTCCATGCAAACGGAGTTGTCGTGGCAGCAGTGGTCAGCGGCCATGCAAGAGCGATAGTCGACGGACATCATATTGCAAGGGACTGGAACGGTGCTGTTGCCACAGTAACCGAAACGCTCGTAATAGGTGCAAGCATCGCTGTTTCTGCACGAGTCAATGTCGGTAAACCGACAGGGAAGCGGGGTGCCCTGTGGACGACAGTGAAGCGAGTTGTCGTCCCAGACGCAGGGGGATGAGGTTTGGGTATTGTTCTCACACAGCGGCCTCGAAGAACTGGAATAATCTTGACATGTCGGGGCCTCTCCTGAAGCAGTGAGGAGGGGGGCGATGTTGGATCATGAGCAGGGAGAGTGATGGTGGTAGCGATGACGGCAAATGGGGTGGCCTTACCTTGGGGCAAGCACTTTGCAATGTCGTCATAGAATTCACATTGCAGCGCGGGGTGATAGCTAGAGTTGGAACACTAAATGTTTTGAAGCGGCCGGTGGCGCAATCTGTGAGCGGGACTGTTATTTATCCAATAGCCGGGCCGGTGTCACAGGGGCGGCTGTCAGACGCACGCACCGCGATGGAACCGAAATCAGAGCAGGTGGCGGCACGACAGCCAGTGCTGGCATAGTCATAGGTGCAGCGAACGGGGCAGCTGTTGGGATCGTCAGGATATGACTCACAAGCAGCGCCCGTATCTACCAAGACCAAAGGCAATTTTTCGGACGGGGAGCGGGGGTGCGAAACGGAGGGTTAGTCGAATGCCATATGATGGCAGCGGCAGGGTGGGGCACTGTTGCTGCTCTGAGCGCGGCATACCTCGGGCGTAGCAGAGATCGCGCCATTCCACCCATTCGCAGTCGTTGTTGCAAGTTGCTTGCTCGCGGGAGAGGCAATCTAACGAGAGCAAGGGTGTGCCAGAGGCGCGTCCGCGTGAGTGAGGAGGAGGCAAAACAGAAGGGGCGGAGGGAAAGGGACGAAGAATAGAAGCGGAACATGAAAAGGCAAAGGCGGGAGAGAAAAGGCGAGGGACGGCCAGAGGGAAGCAGAGGGACGTCAAGGGAAGAAGAGGGAGGAAGAGGCAGAGCGAAAGGGAGCAAGAGGGGGGAGGGGCGACTGCCAAAAGAGGGCGTTTGGCGCTCGCACGCGCCAGAGGGAGCAAACCCAAACAAACAAAGAGGGCGCGGATGACTCCATTGCCAAACGACCTTACCAAGCTCATCAGCACCCGAAGACACCACCGCCATGAGCAGAACACAGCCCACCAAGGCCATGCGCTTCCAATACACCATGGTCTCCCGTTACTGCAGGACACGACTCGCCCCACGTCCGGCTGCCATTCACCCCCCAAAAGCACCCAACAGAGTCACAAGAAAAATAGTTGTGCGTGTTGTGCTGTGAATACGACCCCCTCTCTCTCTCTCTCTCTCTCTCTCTTAAATCTCTCAAATCTCTCGAGTCTCTCTCGATTCTCTCGAATCTCTCTCGAATATGTAAACTCTTCTAAACTCCCTCTCACACACTTTTCTCTCTCTCTCAAACTCTCTCTCAAATTCTCTCTCTCTCTGTTTTCATCTCTCTCTCTCTTCCCTAAGTCTCTCTTTTCTTACATTTGATTGATTTCCTCTCTCTCTCTCTCTCCTCTCTTGGTGAGAAGTCACACGGAATATCCAAGGTCATAAACATGTTAACTGTCTGCACTATATTAGTCACCACTTCCTAACGAATCTGCACAAGGAATAGTTTTCACTGCAACAAGTCCCCGCTCACAAAGTGCGCGGTTGATTCGCTGATACACTAACAAATGGTAATGCCACACCATTTGGGCACAACAGCTGTTTGGTTTGGTGGCGTATCGTCACTGCTTGCGTGAGCTAGTGAATGAGGTCAATGGCATGGAGAAAAACGTAGGCCACCGGCACCACGGCCAGGATGGCCAAATGCTTGACACCAAAGTGCCCACGCACCGGAAGCTTGTCAGTGTAGCGCGTCGCGGCATTCAAGGCCAAATGCATCAACACCGTCACCGCCACCGCCTGCACCATGTCCACCTGACCCACGCAGGCACAGCAAGTCACCGTCGATTTTACAATCCGTCAACCCGTGCATGGTCCATAGGGAGCCCCGACAAGCAACCAGGGTGCGTGTGCGGGGCGGCCGCTGATGCGTGCATCATCACATACCGTGTAGTGAAACCGCTCCATCGCGCTGACAAACATCGAGTGCACCCCAAGAGCCAGAAACACCAGCCGCAGTGCCCACGGCACTCGCGGTTGAGGCTGCGTGACGATGCCACACAAAGAGGATGAAAGCTTTGCAAAGGCAAGAGCAAAGGCATGGCAGGCAAAGTTGAAAGCCTCGGCTGGCCTAGCTCCGAGAGCGGGCCAACACAACAGATTGCTCACGTGAAAAAAGACGGTCATGATGGTCGATGCCACCAATGTACCGTGCCCGCTGAATAACAAATCACCACATCCTCCCGATTCGCTCGCATGCTTGAAGATTAGCCTACAGATCGATGGCCCACAACAGAAAGCGAGCCCCAGATGCCAAGAGTCAGTTTGGAACGCCCAAGACACACCGGACAACACCCTCACAAGCGCAAAGGGTGAAATCAGATCGACAACAGCAATCTGCCGGGGCCGGGGCGCACCGGCAGTTGGGATTCAGAGGCCCCAGCGTTGTCGATAAGAAGGATAAAGACCGCAAGGCCCGTGTCAAAATGTGCAACCCTACACGCGGAGCATGAGAAGACGCCATGCGCATCGCATGATCGATATCCCAGGCGCCTGCCGGAGCGGGAGCATCAACGTACAGACGGTATGCACAAACGCCGTTTGGCGATAACCCGTCCGAACCTAAGTCCAGCACCCAGCACCCGCAAGCATGCTTGAGCACGCTTGCCCGGGAGCAAGCCAAAATTGCAAACACAATGATCGGTATCCAGCCAAACAAACCACCATGTACATGACCAGGCCAATCTGCACGCCCAAAAACAGAAAAGTGGGGGTCTGGTGCTCCACCAGCCACCGCAATGAAGTGTCCTCTGCACAGCCGCGTGTTCGTCCCTCTCGCTACGCGCACAATAAAACCACCTGAGAACGCGAGGCATATTTCCCAAGACACACGCCGAGGGCCGAGTGCCAGAAGCAGGCGCATTTGCCGCTCGCAAAACCCTGCATACCCAGCAGTGTGGAAACCACAACCAATCATGAAGCACATCGCGGATGCGTGTCAAAACCAGATGACCCTCTAAGACGTGCTGGCGCCCGTGTAGCATCTGCCAACGCCAACATACATAACCAGACTCGAGGTCAATACGGCCCAGAATTTGCAGTGGAACGCCTTCTCTTGGTCGAAATCATGGGCCACGCACCGCTGTTCGGGCCAACAAGACATGCTTGTCTGCCTCACTCAAGTTGCTAGCCTACTCGAACCAAGAGAATGAGTGTCAAGAAGAGGCTCAGAGTTCTTGTCAAGGCAAACAGGGCGTACCAGCAGCGCCTTGCTCAGCTGCTGCCATGAATGCTCAGCGCTGTTGTTGAGTCTAAAAAGGAAGGCCCGCGTGAGGTTGAAGTCGCTGCGCATGCTCTGCCCCAGCGCTTCGGCATTTGATGATCCGCTACAGGTGTGGAAAAAAACTGCCCGCTAAATACGTACTCTACGGCATGACGCGGGCTCATAGCCAGCCCTGCTTCCTCGCGGAGCCACCGTGCGCCAGTCTTAGCCTGATGCCCAGTGGCACACAAAACACGCACGCCCCAGAATATGAGACCAGCGCCGGAAACAGCAGTTGGCTGGCTTGGAACTGATGTATGCTCACCTCCCAGGATGGATAATGTTGATGGTAGTCTCGATAAACCAGATCTTGCTCGGTGGGCTGCGAGACCAGGTTCACAAACTGCACCTCGGCGTACATGTACACCAGGCCGGCCAAGAGACTCAGCAGCGCCGTCACCGGCCAGGCATGCCATGGCCATCGCTACCAGGCATGAGCATGAGCAGAAAACCAATCAAGCAGTGAGTCCTCCCCAAAGCACCCCTGCTAATAGATGCCCAGGTCGGTAGCTCCACCCAGCGCGCCCTGACCTCGGGCGCAAGATGGCTCCTGATCCCCATGATCACACAGAAAAAAAACACGAAAAAATAATCTAATGAACAATACTGAAATCAACGCCGTCGTCGATTTCCCGAATTTTATCTGCAACAACTTGTCTTCACGCCCATTTACATCTCTACTGCACATTCAAAACATCGACGATAACCTGCACTACATCATCACCAAATCTTGTAATCTGACATGCTGACATCTCTTTAGTGTGCACGTCCGGCTGAGGAAGGATGGCCAGTTTGATCCGAGGGCTTGGAGAAGAAGGAGGAGGAGAAGGAGGAGGAGAGAGCATGAGCGGGAGGCGGAGGAGAGAGTATGAGGGGGAGGCGGAGGAGAGGGTATGAAGGAATAGGGAAGGGTGAAGGATGGAAACAGGGTCAGAATCGATTTCGGGAATTCAGGAAAAGTGGCGCGTTGCGCCCTATTGACTAGCTGTGTAGCAACTATGGTCGCTTAAATGAACAGACAAGAAGGCCGAAGACAAGCAGGCCGTCCTAATGATGGCCCTCGGCTCGAGTAAAGCGCAGAGGGTGGTTTCTATGCTCAACCATGTGGCTCGAGCCCCATGGTCGTGGCATTGAAACAAGGAAAAAAGACGGAATGTATTGGTGTAAGGTAAACGCTCGCTAAGCGAGGCAAATCCACCAAATCAGCAGTTGGGTGCAAAAACTCTTTCAACATATGTATTGAGCGGCGAGGCGGTCCAAGTTGGCGCGGCCCGGGGTGACCGAGCGCTTGCGATGGCCGTCTGTCATGTCACTGTCACTGCTAATGGCGCTGTCTCCGCTGACCTTGCTTTGAATCACGGTGGGATCCAGGAAGCCAGCACGGTGGCTTTTGGGGGTGGCACAACCGCCAGCGGAGCTTGCCAGCTTGATGTCGGGCAGGATTGAGGACGGCGCAGTGTGTTGACGTTGATGCTCATGGCGATGGTGACGAGACTGCCGTTGGTGATGCTTTTGACTGGTTTTCTCGGGCTCCTTCAATGACACGAACCAAGGAAAGTTGGCGTCCAGGAAGAAGGCGACCTCGTCGAGCGTGGCACGCATTTCCGGGACTGGATTGAGCATGCGTAAAAGAACATGTCGCATGGCAGGGGTAAGGAGCTCTAGGCGAGCTTGCACGGGCAGAACGCCTTGGGCAAAGTAGTCGCGGAATTGTTGGTCTCGGCGTGAGGCGCGGTCCCAAGGCAGATCAGCAAAGAGCATGGCGTAGAGGACGAGACCGATGGACCAGACGTCTTGGCCAGTGTGGCAAGGGTGACCGCGAAGAATCTCCGGCGCCATGTACATTTGTGTACCGGGAATCTGTTGTCCGTGTTGATGGCCGATGGGAACCATGGTGCCCAGGTCGTGGAGAACCAGATTGTTGTGCTCGTCCATCAGGCAGTTTTCGGGTTTGATATCACCGTGGACAAAGCCGGCAATGGCCACTTCTTGCGCTGCGTGCACAAGCTGGCGAAGCCAGCGGTGAGCATTTGCTTGGCTCAAGGAGACGGGGGCGTGAGGACAGATATGATGGTAGAGGGTTCCGCGAGGCATGTCCCGCATGACGATGGCCGTGCGTCCGTCGCTGAGGGCAAAGGTGTCCTCGAGGCGAACGATGTTCTGAGCATGAGCCAGCAGCTGCATCATCTGGATTTCGGTCATGGCTTCAGCGTAGCGGTGACTCGCGACGAGCTTGACTGCCACCGTACCAGTGGTGGCAATGTCCAAGGCGCGATGCACGGTGGCGGTGGCGCCATGGCCCAACTCAGCGCCAAGCAGGTAGCGCTTGTTGAGGAGCTCGGTTGGCACTGCCATTTTGTGAGTCGCGTATGCTCAAGGTTCAATCCGAAAAATGTCAAATGAATACTTCGGGGTGGGGCAGGAGGGGGTTATATCAAGGGGCGACTTGAATGTGACCGGTTGGCGCGGTTGAATGTGTCTCTAGTCTAGCCAAGTCAACCGGTCCCAAGCACGTTGGTGGCACCGAAAGGAGAAAAATGAGAGATGATCGGACCACTTCTTCATGATCAGCACAGAGTCAGCGGGAGAGACTGGGGGCAGGAAGAGGAGAGGGATGCGGATCCATGTTGTGCCCGTCCCGGCGCGTCATTGTTGCAATGCAAGGCAAACGCGACAATCAGGATGGGTGCTGTCAGGTGCACCGGCACGAGACTAAGGCATGAGCTAGGGTTGTTGTTTGTCCAGAGTCACATGGTCTCACTCATTCTTCTGTCCCCTACAAAACCTACCTCCGAGGTACCCACCAACGCTTGGTTTTTTCCGCTGTATTTGGATCTCTCTGTCTCGCTCCGTAGCTCTCTGTATCTCTCTGTACATCTCTGTATCTCTCCATAGCTCGACCTCTGTCTCTCAAACTTGTTGGGGGTACACCTGACTCAAGCAGCTAGAATTTAGGACAATGACGTCATGGTATCGTATATGACAATGCAAGACAGCACACGCGATGCTCCTTTTTACTTGGAACGACAACAGCTCGAGCCAACAACTCGCGAAGGCTTCTGTCAGTTGCATCAATCGCAATTTGGTCTGGGTATCGTGTGCGTCATCCAAACACTGATGAAAGCTCGGGGATTGATTCATAGTACATGCAGCTTTGTGCAAGACCTTCTGCCGATGCCTTTCTGGTGTGCCGAGACGGAAACACACGTTGCATCATAAAGAACTGCCCGGGGCAGAGCCATCGCAATACAACGTCGTACCGCGTGACTTTTGTGACTGCCACAGTCAAAGGAATCGTCCGACCTGAGAAGGAGCAAACGACGCGGAGACACGATTTTTCTGGAACGAGGACTTGCTCCCTCAGCGCTGCGTGTGGGTGGGTGTGCTGTGCTGTGATGTGGTGTGGTGTCCCAAACGGTTCACGACCTCTTGTTTGCCATCTTGTGCCGTTCTGGTGTGAACGTCTTTGAATTACCAACATCGGATGTACATGTACTGGCATGTGAAAGTCTTTCCTCCTCATCACGTCTTGTGTGAAAACTGAAAACAAGGCAAAGCCAAGAAAGTATCTGACATTCCGGCTCAAGGCCACAGTTGCCTTTTAAACATGACAGGCGTCAAGAGGTGGAAGTGGGGGTGTCGTGCCGCTCCTTTCGGTGACGCTTGCGCTGAAGGTCGCGCTGCGATAACAAGTGCGTGGTCTCCGACCTCGCATCAATGTCTTCCTTGTTGGCGTCATCCTCGCGGCTCTGTTGTTGCAGTCGCTTGGACTCGAAACGGCTCGGTGCTGAATGACTCGGATATGCAGATTTTGCGTGACTATGTCAATCTCTATGGCAAAACTGGGTCGGCATCGGATGCGCGTGCCTATCTCTATGACAAGCGTTATCGTGATCTAGAGGCGAAGGGCGAGATCCAGTCGTGGTGCGTGAGCATCAGCACCATCAATAGGCAGCTCAAAGCCATCGAGTCCCAAGTCGCAGACGGTGTTTTAAACGATGTTTTGGTGGTGCCAAACGAGCGACGCCCTGCCTCATTCAAGCCGACGACACGCGAGGCATGCCTCAACTACATTGCCTTCCTCGACGCGCTGGAATCAAAACACAACATTCTGACTAAAAATCGCCACAGTCTCATTTCTGCTGGCGAAGCCTGTGTTGACGCGGCCAGCTCCAGGCATGCCAAAGGCAGGCACCAACGGGTCGTGCCAGCCTCACGCTGCAACGTGTCCTGCTTTGCCGCAATTAGCTACGCGGCAGAACGTGTTTTTCTGCAGACCAAGGTTGGCATCGAAACTACTGAAAACACCCAAAGCCGCCTCGAGGCCACCATTGCAGCATGGCGTGTGCACCACGGTCCCCAGCTGCTGGTGATCACCTTGGACGACGTCCGGCACCACCGCAATGCCCTCGCTCTAATGTGTGGACAGCAGGGGCTGCAGCAATGCCAAAAGACCTTTGTGCGCTCATCCTGCGAAATTGCACCCGAAGACGCCAAATACTGCCCGCTCATTTACTATGAGCTGGACGAGCAGCAGTATGACGGCCCGGTGATCTGTGTTCTCACGCCTGCAGATCAGCCCGATTTGGCACCGGTCATGGCGGTATGTAGCACAACCAGCTATGCCGCTCAAGGCCTCCGCGCTCAAGGCGTGCAAACCGCTCGCCTAGACGATCAGCTGGTGAAGCTGCTCGTTGCCGCCTTTCACGGCTATTTGTCAGAGCAGATGGTGCTCGATGCCGTTGACGACACCATTGGCTACATCAACGCTTGGCGTTGTGGGGCTGCCACTGAGCATCAAGCTCGAGCCATCCGAGACCGTCAGCGACGACGCAACAAGGAATCCTATGAGCAATTCAGGCAGGCATCATCGTCTGGCAGCACCTCTGAATTGTGGTATGGAGCAGAAGCCTTCCTGTTGGTCCCGATCGCAGACATGACTGTGTCGGCCAGCGGCGGCCATGCGGCTGAGCAGGTGATAACAAGGGAGCATCTGGCGGCAAAACTTCATCTGCAACCTGTCGTCTGCGTGTTTCAAAGTCACGACGCCAACGTCCGATGGTCGCTACGGGAAACTTTTTGCGGAAGCGCTTCTCGAGAGCAAGCGCAATGTCCTTGTCGGTAAACACGGTGGCAGCATCGCCCAGCAGCCACAGAAACATGGAGCGCTGTTCGGCCGTGTACGAGTTTTGGCGACCACGAGCACGCGAATGGGTGGGCACAGGTGGCGACGGACCGGTTGTGACCTCGTCACCTGCACCTGCAGCACCGCGCGCCATCGACGCTGTGTCGTTGACAGCCTGCTGAAGACTCTCGAGCGCTGCCCCCGACGATGGGCTCAGGTCAAACCCCTGCGCAGCCCCACGACAAAAGACCGACGTTCTGTCAACATCGTAACTGCATCAAGGTCATCAAAGAAAGACGTGACGACAGCCGGATTGTCAGATTGTCAGATTATAGAGATGTCAGCGTTTATGTGCTACCAAGTAGAATTAGGGTTGTATGTTTCCACCCCCCCCCGACCCCTAACCCCAATGCAACGCCAAGCAGAGAATTGTTTGATCCTCACGTCCTTCTCAGAGAGAGCGTCGACAAGCTGATTCGGTACACTCTGCAAAACGTGCCAAATCCAGAGGATTAAACCTCCTTTGCGACGCCCACAGAGATTAGCAACACGCTCGCTTTAGGGTTATGAAGGATTTTTTTTTTCAAGATTAACGGTCAAACGCGAAATTTTTCGGTTTTTTTTTCGCTGATTTGGCGGTCACTCGTCCTCTGTCCTCTGGAGCTGTGAACGCTTCAAGAGGGAGGCGTCAACGCCACGGGGGGAAGCGGTTGTGTGAAGCGGTCCATACTGGGGGGTGGGGGGAACTGTGCACAGGAGGATGGCCCGATCCAAGACGCGTGCTGGCCGCGCGGCTGCGGCGGCGAGCACGACCACGACGCGAGGCGTGCTGACGCAGACCTCTGTGTTGGAGGCTGCGCTCAATCCAGCCATGAAGCTGCGTCTCAATGAGGACCCCGAAGCCGAAGCCTGGTAAGTCATGGGCATAAGGCCTGCTTGTTCGCCTTGTTGTTTGTGTTTTGTGTATCTTTGTGTATCTTGCTCTCTAGTCTGCCTCGCCGCACGCTGCGCGAGCTTTCCAGACTCACCCGGTTGGTGCCCGGGCAGGTGGAATATTGTCCAGGCCTGCTTGGCTGGCGTGCAGACGCTTAATGGCGGGCTCGACAGCACGCTCGTGCGCCGGCTCAATATTGTCAAGTGCACCTTCACTCTGACCCAAGAAAATGGGCGCGATGCCAGTGCACTCGATGATAGCATCGAGAGTTTTGAGCAACTGCTGGATGAATTTCCGCAGTGCTTCGAAGCTGACGCCCACCGCATTCTCCTCCGCTTTGAGATGCGCGTTCAAGTGAGCCTCTTGCTCCACCCACCACCATACCTCGTGCACGCAGATGGCTTTTTATCCTGATTGAAATCGCTGCTGTCTAGCGCCTGCTTGCCTTCTACCTCCCGGGCACATATGGAGATGACGCGCCCGAGCCCACAGAAAGCATGTTTCTTGAATTTGATGAGCATGCCTTTGACGAGGAATGCCTGGACAATGGACGCCTCAAGCTGGTCCGAAGCTGCTACCGATCCCCCTCTCGTTTTAGCCCCCCTGCCTACTTGTGTCGTCGCTGACTCACTGGACCGGCTCGATTTCCGCAGTCCACATTTACCACGCGCGTCCTCAGCAAAATCCGCCAAGATCCCTCCAAGTACCCTGACTACGTCTCCGCCTACGTACGCCTTCCTTGACCCGTCTTCTCATCATGGTGCAAAAGTCGCGCTGACCACCGCCGCCTTCCGGTTATCCTCAAATTCAACCTCTAGCGTGACTGGGATGACTTTAAGCGACGCGCCCTGACCTTCCTTCAACGCGCCTACGATGAGCTACCTGAACCCCTTCTCGTGCGAGCCGTCCGCCATACCGTGCAAGGACCCCCGCCCACCGGTGCTGCCGCACCTGCAGCTCAGGTTGCTTCCGCGCCTCTCAAAGTTCTCGGCCGCTCCGAGGTCCAGCAACTGGCCCGGCGCCTTCAGTTGGAGGAGCCCTTCAACTCTGCCGTTCAAGGCGATCGAACTTCGGCTGCCTCTCCCCCCACTGCACCTCGCATGGCGGCAAATCCGCCTGCCTCGCCCCCGCAGCCCAAGGCTAAGAGACAGAATCGCCAGCCCGCTGCGCCAGCCGACCTCGACGCCCCCATGGATGAGCTCGATGCCATTCTCATGCAGCGTGCGTCCCTTGCCGCCCAGCATCTGCTCATTCCCGAGAGCAGAGTCTCTCCTTTGAGTCTGTTACACACGCATTCTTTCTCATTTGTTCTTTTGTATAACCCCTCCCTCACTCAATGTTTTTAGAAGCCGCCCAAACTCGCTCCCCGGGCACCGGCTCCAAACAGGCTGCACGTACTCAAGGCGAGGCAGACCCGACCCCGACCGCCAAGCGGGCTAAGAACAGGTACTAGGATAGCTCCTTGATTGCTTCTCCCAAACGCAGATCTTGCGGTACATGAACCTCTGATTGGCACCCAACTTTCCTTCTCTTTAGCTCAGCACCTAGTGCAGGCAACAGCGCTTCACTCAACGTATGTCCTTGTGGATGTGTCATTGGCACACCCGACTCTGCATTGCTGCTGCTGCACGGCCACTGATTGTGTGCTTGCCGCTGTAGGGGCATGCCGGACGCCTCTTGGCCGCATCGCGCCATCTCAAGGGCATTGGAGCTGACCCCATTGATGAGTTTCGCCGCCAGGCGCCTCGAACGGGTGACACAGTCTCGACCCTGGCCCCCGCCGCTGCCAGCGTGCGCACCGCTCCAGCTGTACAAGCCACCCCTACCGCTGCCTCCCAGGAGGAAGATGGGACCATTGCCTCGCCCAACACCCTGCCTTCACCCACGGCGCGCCGGCGAGCGGGAGGTACGCATGGCTTTGGGCGTGTGTTTAGCTCCCTGCCAATGTTGAGCGCGATCCAATTTGACAACTCACAAGCGGTTTTGCCGGGATGGGATGGGACATGCTTCTGAACGTGTAGCCACGCGGGCGCGACGGGCTTGGACGGAGGAAGAGGAAATGATGCTTGAGGAAGGCGTCGCCAAGTTTGGCAAAAAGTGGCGGGCCATTCAAGCCCATTATGACTTTAAAGATCGCACAAACGTTGACCTGAAGGACAAGTGGCGCAACATGTCACGGAACTAGTCGTGCGAAAGCAGGCCAGGCCGGCATGCAAACTTGAGCATGTTTGTGCTTGATGACCGTAATGATGTGATGTTTTCAGTTTTGTTTTGTGCTGTGCTTTGTTTTGTTTCTTTGTTTTTTACACGTGTATTTTGTGTGGTCGAGTCGACCCCTTGCCAAAGAGGCTCAAACTCGAGTGATGCGGGCTGTTGCTTTGGCTTGTGAATGAATGCCGTCTGTTTCTTGCCCCAGGTTAACTAGCTGCCCTCCTGTGTGTCTCTTGCCTGCTGTGCCTTCTGTGCCTTCTTGTGTATGAAAGGGTCAGAACGGATGAGTATGGAGTCATTTGCAAAATCTAAATTGGGTCTCGGCTCGGTCAAAGATCCATGCTGGTGAGCGTGGGCGTGCACACGCACACGTAAACACCTTGACACCTCATGTTAGGTGCGATGGCACTGAAAGCGCTATGGATATGAACCTCGAGGACTTGAGGGCAGAGGCAAGACTCCGCTCAGCGGAATAAAAGAAACGCAACAGAGTTGCCAGGAATAAAACAAAGGAGCGCATACCAATCACGACACGAGCATCTTGCTTGGCAAAAAAATGCAGGAGGGCGGTATGCACAAGGGGAAATATGAGCAAAATTATGGGTGCACGGCACTGTTGTTGATGGCGGAGGCGATCAGCCTAGAGAATGAGAAGGTGTTCTTCTAGACTCGAGCCCTGCTCGTCATCCAGAATGCAGATGGAATCAAAGGACAGTCCGCGGGACAGGGCTTCTGATGTGGACGGATCAGAGGGGAGACGGCTCGCGGATTGAGAGGCGGCAGCAGAGAAGGTGGTGGTGGTAGTTGAGTGGGCCCGGGGATGGAAGGGGGCCATGCGTTCGTCTTGATCGATCAAGTCGCGACGGCTTTCGTGGGCGTCATTGCCATCGTCGTCATCGCTGCTGTAGCTGTTGCTGCTGTTGAGCTTGGTGGTATGCCGGTGATCCACGTGAAAGCGGTGCGGACTGCGATGAAGGTAGAGGGTGGAGCCACCATGTGCATCGTCGTCGCCGTCGTCGTCGTCGTCGCTGGCGCGATCATAGCCGAGGTGGATGGACGTGTGCTCGGAGCCGTCTGTGGGTGACTCGCCAATGGCGGTGAGGTGGGAAGCAGTGCTGTTGGTGCGAGAGTTGATGGTGTTGGCGCTGCGCAGGGAAAGGCGGTCCCAGGCCCGGCGCATTTTTTGCTTCAGGCGGGAGCCGATGGAGGACTCTGGATCAACCACATCAGCCGGAAGGTCGGGAATGCCGGGCTGGAAGCTGCTCTGGACCAGGAGGGGCGAGGGGAGAGCGGCTAGGAGGCGCTCTTCCTCAGCACGTCGCAGCTGGGCGTTGTCCGAGTCTTCGACGCCAGCCTGAATGAGACGGGAGGTGGAGAAGCGGAGGCGCGCCTCGCGTCGACGCTCCAAGACGCGCGCTGCGGTGACGGCAACGACAATGACGGCACTGAAGACCCCAATCTGCAGGCCCAAGCTCATGCTGTTGGGCACCTCAATCGAGTCGTAGTAGTGGGTAGGTTTAGCTGTTGAAGCCCCCGTGGCAATGGTGGTGGCCACGGCCGCGGCCGCGACTTGGGCGTCGCTCTGCGCTTGAGCAGCGGCCATGGCAGCGGCCGCCTTTTGTGCTCGGTCGTAGGCATTGGCTGCCGCAGCGGCAGCGGCAGCAGCAGCAGCCATGGCAGCGGCAGCATCGCGAGTCGCAGCCTGCTGACCCCTCTCCACGGGCTCGGTCAGAGCTTCTGCGGCGCGACTGGCCAGGGCTTCGGGGTCTATCGCGGGTTGCGAGCGGCCAGGCCCGGCGGCAGGGAGCTGGGCAGAGGCAGAGGCTGGCGGGCTCGTGCCAGTATCAGAGGTCGGTATGACGGTGGCATTGACAGGCGCCGCATGTTCAGCGCCAGTCGTGTTTGAGGGTGATATGGGCAAGGCTGTAGCGGACGGCGCTGCCGCCACGGCGATGAAGAGGGCCAACGCCCATAGCAATGGCCGGAGCCCACGGTGGTGCAGGGGTGCCATGTTGACGGTCCGCCTGGCGCTGGCACCGCAGCGAGCGTTTAAAAGAGACGCAGCAAGGGCCAGCGTAGCGCTGTATAATGTATCTTTAGGTAGTGGGGCACGCTGGTTGGACGTGCGTCTGTACCGTGTCAATCACGTCCAGCGCGGTAGCGCGCATGGTCCACAGCTCGAAAACGTTGAGGCCTCGTCGCCTCCGACACCTCCGAGTGTCAACCTCTGGCAATGCCCAACGCCAACGCAGGAGATACGACCCCAGACACGTCCAGCCCCCCTTGTTTTTCAAATGCAATCCTGCTCCAACTGAACGCACTCTTCCTCCAGCGCGCTGCCCTTTTCGACCAGAGAGAGTGAGAGTGAGTGAGAGAGACGAGAGACAGAGACGAGAGACGAGAGAGAGAAAATGAAGGAATCGCAACGCGTGAGAGAGAGAGGAGAGAGAGAGGAGAGAGAGAGAGAGAGTTATACTACAGTCGCAATGCGTTGCATTGTAACATGAGCTACAGGTTAACAATGCTACACTGGTAACATTGTAACACCAACAGTAACACCAACAACACCCACGACTGCTATGCTTACTACCCTTACTACATGTACATGACATTGTACTGTACACTGTGTTGCTGTTACGCTGGTCCGTTGCGCTATTCTGAATTGTCATCATTTATGGAAGCATGACTGGATTTGAGCTCATCATGCATCATGGGTAACGCACTGTGTGCTCTGTCTGTGTGTGTGTGTGTGTGTGTGTGTCAGCTGATGTGTGCGATGGGGTGTGTGACACGGGGGTCCAGCGGGGAGGTTGTCGCGGTGCTGCCGGCTGGTGTCAGGTTGGTTGCGCTTTTGGTGTCTGGACGTGCCGTTTGTCGGTTGGTCTTGCCATGCCTCGAAAGAGCTTTCGAGTTGTGGTCGCCTCCCAACTCTCAAGGTTACGTGTGTGCAGTATCAAATTGTATAAAGTGAACGGAGTGAGTTCAACAAGTCGGAGACTACCGCAAAGAGAACTAACGTAAAACCGTGTTTACATCGACACAAACTTAAAGTCCTGACGACACAAACCCCAAGTTGAACCACTCACTAAGGCCTCCTCGGCGCATTGCCCCAACCGCTGCTTCCCCTTTCTCCCCGCCCCAACCTGCACTGACCAGGAGAGGGAGGGAAAAAAAAAACCGGACGACCAAGAGCAGCTGAGGAACCGACCACGCACCACCAGATCTTGCCACAAAACGGGTCAGGTCGCGGCGGGACCTGAACTCGATTGGTATGCATGGTGGTGCAATTTGCTAGCTACGACTTTCAACACCGTCCATCCTCAAAGCAACGTCGGCTCCAAGACCACCCTACCTGCGAGTCCTGACCTTGAAAGCGACGTGATCAGCAGTGCAACGAGTGCCCGGCACCACCACGTGAGCAATTTTGAAAGCACACACACATCCAACATCTGTTGCACTTTTGGCAATCACACCTCCAAGCCTCACTCAATGGATCACGCACGCCCGTTTGTGCTGGTGAATCCAACACCATGCGCATGCCGGTGATATGAAGGTGAAAAGCAGATGCAGCAAGGCCAGCTGCCAGTCGAAAACGGCTACCATCGATCATAGGGTATGCGGGCATGCACAGGGTCATAGCTTTGGGATGCCTACTGGTCAATTTGCCCCTGATCCCCGGCATTCGGGCTGTTGCGATCTCTAAACTGGGATTTGAAAACAAGGTGTCGCTGGCCACGGACGCGCCAAAGCATGAGATTGTCACGTGGCCGCATGACACAGTTCATGACCGTAATGGCACTATTGACGGGCGCATCGCGGTACAGGTCCAAGAGGGGCTGACAATCCGGCCCTTGACAGCGCGCCGCAGCCTTCCGTGCCGCCGCCTCTCGCGCTTCGCTATCCGCAAGCCCCAGGTCCTGGAGGCCCGCTAGTGGAGTCTCGCCCTCGTCGTGATTGATCACAATGACGCATCCCCCACCAACGGAACAGCTAGTCTGCACATGGTCGGCATGCTCAACTGCATACGCGCTGCGCACGAGCACCATGCCCTGGCCTGGCACTCCACACAGGGCCAGGTAACAGGGGCTGACCAACGGTACTGTTTCAAGCCAAGCCTGGGCATTGGCCAAGGTATCACACTCGGTCAGCGCCCAGCGCGTGGCAAAGGCCACGGGCCAAGCTTGGTCCACGAGATAGCGGCGCAGGGCCCCACTCAGCCTCGTTGCTGATGCTGACATGTTGCTTTATCTGACAAAAATACCGCCAAACCTGTGTGAACACGTTTAAACCGATCCTTCATACTCTAAACACCTATTCAAACGAAGGGGCGGTACCTCACAATCGCTCTCCCTCTCTCTCTCATTTTCTTTGGACCACTGGCACTGATCATCATCATCATCATCATCACAGTACAGTGCAGTGCAGCTCAGGATCTGGATCGTGATTTCGCCGCTGGTCATTGGAATATAACATCATCAAAGCCATGGCGGCAGCACCGACGACCACGTCTCCGCGTGTGACGCGCACCAGCTCTCGCGTGACTAAAGGTGTGCGCGAGCTGGACCCGGACTTTCAGTACGTAGGACAACGTGCGTGCCTCCTTTGCACTCCGCTCAGCAGCGATCGCGCTGACCACTTCCCCCACATCTGGCTTCTCGCTCGGCCGGTACTCCAGATATCGCCAGGTCAAGAAGATGGAGGATCACCCCTTTGTTGAGCTGGTGGGCAAGGAGATTGAAATCCATCTCGGAACCACGCTGGGCTGGCAAAACGGCAAGGTGGTGGAGTTTCACCCTTTTGATGGCATGCATCTCGTCGAAATGGCTGATGGCACCAAGGTAAGGCTTGGACGCATGGTGGCTCTGAGAGCCGTTGAATTTGATGCCAACCTTGTCTGTTTGTTTTGCTTCGTGCCATCTTTCGCTGCGCGTTCGTGATTGATGGGACTCTCTGACATGATCACGCGTGACATGGTGCGCAGCGCCTTTTCCACCTGGATCAGCGAGAGATTCGCCTCAAGGGTCGCAAGCGCGAGTACACCCGACTGAAGGAGCAAGTGCACAAGCACCCCATGCATACGCGATCCCAAGACCCCGCCCCAAAGTCCAAGCGCGCCAAGGTGCCGATCCGTGGCTTTTTTTTTTTGTTGTTGTTGTTGTTGTCTGACACCCGCCGCTGGCTGCACTTTGCCTCTGATACTGGATCAGAACCGTTTTCATCCAGCCCTTTTTCTGACCCTCGCCTCCTCTTTGTCCCTCTGACGAATCAAATTCAGGCAACGGCCGATGCGGATGGAAGCAAGACGGCAACCTCACCCACGGGCTCTGCCAGCAGCTCACCTGCCGCTTCGCAGGCCTCGGCGGCAGCAGCCTCTGATGCCGGCATTGACGTCGGCGCCAGCACGACACAGGCCGACAAGAGCAAGGCGAGCCACGCCCACAACCACGCCAGCAACGCCATCCACGTCTGCTACACTGACCCGGAAGTGGACGAGATGACGGGCCTCAAGGGCCAAGCAGAGGTCTTGATCGACGCCAATCATCAAGTCTTCGAGGCTGACCTGGTCTATCTTGACCTGAGCCAGAATCACGACAAGTACTACAAGGTAATCCTTGTTTATCCTCGTCCCATTCCAAGGTGTAGCATCCTCAGTTGATCAAGCAGTGATCAAGCAGGGAGAGTGAGGCGCTCGTGAGCTGCTTTTCTCATTCATCCTTGTGCCCCTGTCCATATCGCCGCTTCCTTGCCATGCTCTAGCTGCAAGTGCTCAAGGCCAAGGATGGCAGCGCCTACTGGTGCTCGCACCATTGGGGGCGCACAGGCACTCACGGTCAAAGCCAGGTCTTCAAGTTTGATGACGAAGCTACCGCCATTGCCGATTTTGAGGACAAGTTTCACCAAAAGACTGGCTTCCAGGTGAGCGCCGCCCGTTGGTTTGGCCCGCGCCCAGTCTCTCTCTCTTCTCTTCTCTCTTCTCTCTCTCTCTTTCCCCTCCCGCCCTCTCTCTCCCTCTTTCTCCCTTCCTCTCTCTTTCTCCCCACCACCCTCTTTTGTCCATCAGTTCTTTGGCATTCAGTCTGGCATTGAGACTGCCTCTCTCACCGAGCTCATCTTGCACAACTTTGGCTGCTTTCGACAACTGATAGTGGAAGGATCGCGATACCGCCTCGCGCAAGCCTGGCAAGTATGCGCTCAAGCGTAAAGTCTACCTATCGGTGGGCGCCAACCCAGCCAATAGCACTGGTACCAACGCAGCTGCTGGCGAGTCGGTGGTGTGGCAGGTACGCCCACTTGTACACATGTCGTCCACCTCTGCGACGGCTGTGTGGCCTTTGTCTTTATTCTCACCACTACCTGGGGCCGACAGTACTATGTTGATGACTTTGTCGATGGCAAGTCTGTGGGCTGGTATCCCTACACGGTACGTCCCGGCCTGCCGCTGCCCTCATCGATGTTTCTTTGTGCAACTAATTGTGCAACTGATGTATGCATCTTCTGTGCAACGATCGTGGCAATGTCACAGGAATCGGCCACGCGTGTGGTGGAGGGTGTCTACTCGGAATGGCAAAACAACACCTGGCTTGACGTGCGCCAAGTCCAATCGGGCTACTTTTCCTACCGTAAGCCTTCAGGCCCTGTGCCGTTCGCACGCCCATCGCCAGCATCGCCAGCATCGGTCCAATTTTTCTGCCCCCGGTTCCTCATCCATCTCCCACCTCTATCGCGGTCCGATGGCGCTAGGTGTGGACTTTAACACCATGACGCAAACCAACACCAGCACCAACACTTGCCGCCGCATCCGCCGTCAAGCTCAAGCGGCCTAAGTCCACCCATGACGTTTTGTGTGTGTTTCACGTGTCGCGACCGTCCGGTTGCTCCAATGCCAAGCCGTCTTGTCGAGTGACAGGCACGCCCCCTCTTGATCGTGCAGTGTGTTCATCAATCAATCAATGGACTGATCGAGGATGGATGGATCGATCTGAGAACAAGAATTGAATGCTTCTTTTCGGTCACGTCTGTGCGACGGCTGGGCCTTTCTCTGCCTACTTGGCCTGTCCCCTTCTTGCTGCGCCACATCCAAGCACTGCCTTTTTGAGCATTTGGTATCGCTTAAAAGAGATGGGATGGGCGCGTGTGTGCAAGGAAAAAAAAAAAAAACTGTATACTTTTAAAGTTCTTAATTGTCGCCGAGCCTTTCCGGAACAGAAAAGGGCACGGCAGAGCAAAAGGCGACATTCAATAAGAAATAGAAACAAGCCGCACTGCGGGGCACAGCCCAGCACACAAGCACGGCACAGGAAGGTGGTAGAGACAGCATCAGCATCGAGACGTGTCAAACACAAAGAGACTCAAAGAGACTAAACGATCAATGACATCACACACAGTTGCAAGCGAAACAGAAAAAAATGTGGTGTGAAGGCTTAAGACTTAAGCAGACTTGGCCTCCTTCTGCAGCATGAGAGCAACGGCATCGTAGTGCTTGCCGGCATCGAGCTGGGCACGCTCCCAGTTGGTGAGCATCTTGTCGCGCGACTGGTCGGGGCGGAGCCAGACGTTGCGGTAGACGGTCCAGACACCAAACGAGGAGGCGAAGGTGCAGAGAACGGCCAGAGGCAGAATCTCGGGCTTCTGGCGCAGGTCGGAGATAAGAGAGCGAATGGCCGACATGGTGATGGGCTAAGCAAAAGGGTAGCTGGAGCTGTTGGCTGGAAGAGGCTGTTGTTGCTTTGAGGCTGATGAGAGCTGGTTGTAAAATGCCAGTCCACCCCGAGCCGGCTTTAGATATACTGCGCGGGCAGGGGTGGGTGTGATAGCCGTGATGGCAACGGATGCAGAGAGCAGAAGGAGGCGGGAGGTGGGGGGGGGGACCCTTGATGCAAACCATCCCGCTCGCTCATCACGCAAGGTCGGGTCAATCCGCCATCACGACGGCCCCTCACGCAACACAACACACACACACTGAGCGCGCGCGCGTTTCCATAAGAAGCGCACAACACTCGTAAGCGCGATGGTGATGTGATGACAATGTGTGTGTGTGTGTGTGTGTTAGCAAGACAACGGGGTTGGCCAAGTGGTTTTGTCAGACGAAATCCATGAAGCGGAATCAAGCTGGCGGGCTTGGTGTATGGAAAACGTAACCTTGGGGTGGGTAACGTTAGAGTGATGCAAGAGGAGGGGTGTTTGAAGTGTGATGTATGTCACGGTTTCACGCGGGTATTGGGTGGGAATTGCATCGCGGCACCCAGCGCAAGAGCAGCAGGCGCCGCTGATGCAAGCTGCATCAAGGTTCCTTCCCCAAAATGTCAGATTTATCAATGTCAGACCAAATGTAAGAAATAGGTGTTCTGAACCATATTGTGCAACACTGAATTAGTCCAGCTGTTGTAAACAGTCGTTTGTAAAATTTAGATGACTGATTTTCAATCATATCCAATTTATATTACAATCGTTATACCTGCGTTTTTACTCCCAAATCCAATTCCATATCTGCCGTTGATCTTCCCGCGCCAATTCGAATATCCTTTCTTCGCTGACAAACTGCCAAAAAAAATCAAAAAAAAAATATTGAAAAGTATTGCGGACTTGCGCTCAGACCCCATTTCACTCTCTTCTCTTGCCCTTGTCGTCTTGCCCTTTGCGTTGTTGCGTGGCTTGATGCATGCTGCTGGTGGGTGAGTCAGTTGCACCCATACAGTCAATCGTGGGAGATCAACCCCTCCCCACCCATATCAGCAAACAAAGGTACAGCTGCCTGCCCGTTCAATGTGCCCGAACCACTTTCCTGACCCCGTCTTGAAGCACCTACCTACCTACCTGCCCTAGCACACCTGCGCACACACAAACCCATCTAAATCATCGTTGCTCGCGCGTTTGGCACTGCCACGACCCAATCACATAGCTTTGTCGTTGCAGCAGACGTTGCGCCTGCCCAGACACACCCTGTCTCTCCTCGGCATCAGCTAGCTTGACCAACTTTACCATGACCACCACCAATTTTAACATGAGTGCCTGGATGGTAAGTCAGCCACCGCCGTTCATCTTGACCGTGATCCAGACTTGGCAACTCGCGAACATCCCAGCCCAAGCCCGAGCCCGAGCCCGAGCCCGAGCCTGAGCCCGAGCTTGAGCCCGAGCTTGAGCTTGACACTTGTTGATCGGCACAGTCTGACTCATCCTCTTGCCCATGCCATGTCGCACAGCGGCCCGATGCCATGGAAACGGACACAGACTCACTCTCGGTGACCTTCCATCAGCACCAGCACCAGCCCAACCTCTACGCGGGCAGCCTGCAACACCACCAAATCCCCCCACATTCTCAATATCATCACTTCCAACACCAGCCGACCTATCAGCAGCCCCAGCCTCAGTATACCGCCCAGCCGCAACTTACAATGCCCATCCCAGCCTCCTCCCAGCCCATGATGTATCCCCAACAACACCAGATCCAGCCTCAGCAGGCACCAACATTCTCCATGCAGCCCTGCGTCATGACGCACCTGCTCAACGACTCAGAACATGAGGACACGGGCACCCAGGACCTGGACACCTCGCTCACCGACATGCAATGGGTCTGCGACTTTACACCCTCGGCCACCTCCACCCTCATTACCCCCATCAAAAAGGCCAAACACGAAGTCAGCAAGCATGATGTCGTTGAAGACTTTGAAGACATTCAGTACATGCTCTCCATTCCTCCCGAAAAGCAAGACCCGACCCGCAAACCCGACTTTGCGTATGCCGCCCTCATCATGGCCGCCATCGTCACCAGCAAGAGTGGCAAAATGCCCCTCTGTGACATCTACACGTGGATTCAGGACCATTTTCCCTACTACAAGCATGCCGAACCGGGTTGGAAGGTGTGTCCCCACATGTGCTCCAACGACCACCGCCGTGTCTCTCCTCTCCGCCCAAACACACACACACACACACACACACACACACACACACACATAACACAAACCCATTTCAAAAAAAGGATAATAACCTCGGGTTCTTCTACCTTTTTCGGCCAGCTCACGAGTGTCTTATGCCTTTCCGCTACAGAACTCCATCCGCCATAACCTGAGCCTCAACAAGCACTTTATCAAGGTCCCACGTAGCAAAACTGAAAAGGGCAAGGGTGCCTACTGGACGCTGGCCCGCGATGAGAAGGGCGATTGCCTAAAAGTTCGCCTTGCCTCCGGTCGTCAGCTGCAAAGGGAAAACAGCACCGAACGACCCCCGGTAAGCCTCAAACTCGACCCCGCCAGGGATCTGCCGATCCAAAATCCACCCTCTCAATCCGTTGGCTTGAAATTTGCTTTCCTCGCGCAGGAAATGGCATCAGAGCAGCAGCCCCAGCCTTCCCAACACCCGGTGCCTGTGCGCTCCACGATTTTGGCCAACCATGCCCGCGACCTGCAAACTCCTCAACACACACAACCCCTGAGCCGGCGGGCCAACCTTCCCGCAACCGCAACGCCCGTCTCCGCGGCTATCCACCACTCCGTCGGGCCCATGACTAGCATTGACCAGAGTCTCTTTAGCTCTGACTTTGATTCGCCCTCTGGCATCTGGTGCAGCCCAACCCGTCGCTTCGATGCCATGCTGCACCTCGCTGCTTCGGAAGACGCAGACGCCCATTTCACTGCTTCACTTGCCGGTCTTCCCGGAGCGCAGCAGCAGCGTGCTCCTCATACACTGTGCACCAGTACCTCTGCCCATGTGCCGGCCACCTCAGGCTCGATGGACCCCATGGCCGCCACGGGCGCAGCTCATGACGAACTCTTTTCCCAAGCACAGCGTGACATGGTCGCCCAGCACCGCGGCATGACCACCTCTCAGGCATCAGTTTTGCCCAGCCCCGCTGCCATGCATCCCCATCGCCATCTCAACCAGCACGCGTCTACACCCAAGTGGGTGACCACCTCGAGCCCCAATAAACTTCATGACAGCGGTCTGGCCATGAGCCCCAGCGCCCTCGAGACCCCGGGTCGTCTTTTTGGCGTACATGGCGTCCCAGACTTTGACCCCCAGGATCTGACCCGAAGCCCCGGCTTCTTCTCTCCCTTCAAGTCGGCTCAATCCCCATTTTGGCAAGGCTTGGGCACCACCAACTGCCCGACGCCCTCTCCGTTCAAGCGCGAGCTTCTCCGAACCGAGGCCCTGGCCAATTCGCCGCTTCGCACGGCCATTCAATTTTGAACTCGACCTTCATCCGTCCATGGCGCTGCGTAGCCAGGGATCCATGTGCTCCTGCCATTGTTGGGCCTGGCGCTCGACAATACCCGAGGTCACCTTGCGCTGCTGAATCGGCGAACTTCTTGCATTCAGAACAACGGCTCTGCACGGGCTTTCGTTTGAGCTGTCTCAGCTCTTTGGTCTCTGCGGCCTCGACGTTTGTTTGACGTGGCTTGGCCCTTCTGCACGATCGCGGGCGTCGTGCTACTGTTTGTAGGCCCCAGTTGAACCCCTATGATTGATTTTGTGCCTGATGTCCAAGTGTCTGTGTGATGTACCTGTGTATTTGTGCGTGGGCCCCCGTCGTGTGGCCATTCAGAGAATCGTAAGCGAGATTGATTTTAGTGTCCTCCATGTTTGGGCGTTGGTGGTATGTTTCCCATGTCCTTCGATGAGCTTGTGTTGGCCCGATTCTTGGTTTTGGTTGGTTTGTTTTTGGCTCATGCCTCGCGTACTACTTCTGGGTTCTGCTGACCGTTTGGTGGGTCCGGTGTGGCTTACGCCTGTTGTTCATGGTCCAGAGGTCGTCTTCGCCGTGGCTGAGAGTATGGTATTAATTATGCGGGACACGTTTTTCTTCCGTTTGACTGTGCTGTCAAGTTTTGAGACCTTGGTCACCCGTCACACACCTGCAAATTTAGCTGATAACAGAGGTGTCTCTACAATTTTGAATGCTTTTGGCACATGTCTCACCCGTGCGTACGGTTGATATGCGAGAAGATCGGCTCTTGCCTTGCCTGACCCCTGAGCGTCCCCTTTGGACCGTCGTTTATACACGTTCGACACGATCACTTTGTTTTTACTCTTCAAGTCACTGATCGAGATCTGTTCATGTATCCAAATGGTTGCCAGGACATGACTTTGGTAGAGCCAATTGTCGCATACTTGGGCATGCGGCATCAATCAGATCCTGGTTCTAAGAGCAGCCACCACTTGGCAATCGTGGCGCATCGCAATTGCCACCCCAAACCCCATGAAAGATACAAGAGGGGTCGAAAAGGCGGTTTTAAAAATTTCACCAAAATTAGCCGAAAATGTTCGAAAATTATTTTACAAAACAAGATGTTGTTGTCATTTTGCTTTGTGCGTGTGTGTGTGTTTTGGGCTCAAGTTTTTCGTGAAAATACGAAAGCACGCATGAAGCCGTGTATCAAAGTCCTGAATTGAAATCGGGCTGCTGCTTTAACACTGCAGTCTCATATAGGTAGGAGCACGCAGGGTGACACAACAACGGGGCCTTAATGCTTGGCAGCCATGCTCTCATCAACAAGCTGCAAGGTACGGAAGAACACGAGTGCGAATGCGGGTCAACACGACACATGGCAGACGTAAGTGCATTCAGCATTCATGGTCGCAGGATATCAATGGCAAGACGAGCAAAGCCAGCAAAGCAAGCCAGCGGATGACTCACCATGCGCACACGCGTCAGGGCTGCTTGCACCGAAGCAAAGGTGCCATCCAGAACCACGCTGCCCACACGCTCAGCATCGTCCACCTCCATCTTGACATCGTATGTCCTCTGAATGTCCTTGATGTTGCCACCTTGGCGGCCGATGATGGCGCTAACGGCAGCCTTGGGAACATCCATTTGCACGTGGAAAACGGGCAACTCACAGCCTTCGGTGGCCTCGGCGTGTGTCTGAAGAACCAAGGCCCGACACAAGTGAGGCGGTTGTTGTTTTCTCAATGAACATGCCGGATAGGCGAGTGCAACCAACGCACCTTCATATGACCAAAGATATATTGATGCAGCTTCACCTGCTCCGCGGTGGGGCCCGAAATGGTCATGATGGCACTCTGCGCGAACAATGACGGGGTCAGCAGTCGCGGTACAAGAGTGAGCGGCGTGTGAAATCATGAATGAATAAGGAGGACAACGGGGTCCACGTCAAAAGAAGGCCCAAGACAAGCACGGCTGTTCGAAATAGCAACTTACGCCATCTTCGCGAGCCTCCGACAAATCAACCTATTTTTTTTTTTTGAGCAGCAGCAGATGGCAGCAGATGAGCGAGCCTAGAGCGTGAATTGCATTGGAATTGTCTATCAAACATGGGGTGCCCAGGCTACCAACAACGGACCTCAGCTGACGAAGACTGACGCAGACGCTTGATGTGTGCGCCCTGACGGCCAATGACCGATCCCATGAAAACAGCGGGGATGGTAATCTGCGTGCGCTCCAATCCTGTTCACCATGGTCAGTTGGGCTCATATGTACACGAGCTAGAGCGGGTCAAAGCAGATGATGACGATGATGCTGATGATTATGAGAGTTGTGTTTGAGCAAAGAAACTTACGGCCAGCGGCGCTGGAAATGTTCACGTCGTCACCTGCCGTCACGGTAAAGTATCGAACGCACATCTGCAGCGCACGCTTCAGTTGCGAGTTGGTGCCGCTGAGCTGTAAAATGCTAGAAAAAGGCAAGCCCCCCAAAAGCCCAACGCCATGCAAGAGGCGAAGTGAGGAACTTCCACGGTGACAAGTATGATGCAAAGCATATTAAAAGATTGACATGAAATGAAGAATGGGATCGGCAAAAACAACCGCACGGGCCTATCGTCGACCATCACCCTTTTGACGCCGCAACAGAGGGGACATCGACAAGAGCTCCAATCGGGACTTGCAAGACGTACCGTTGGGCCGGTTCAAGGGCCGGGTAGGCCTGGTTCACAACGCGGGCAAAAGCACCGCTGACGTCCTGAATGTGGCGGATGGTGCGACCACTCTTGCCAATGATGCGACCCACAATGGCCTCCGGAATAGAAAACTGGAGCATGGGAGGGTTGCCCTGCTATCGGTTCGCAACATGTCGGATGACCATGTGAACCCAGGTCGAAGCTAGATGATTTGTAAGATAGTCTCTTTGTGGATGGCGGCGGGCCTACCTGGCCCGAGCCGCGCTCTGCAAGGTCATTGGCTTGCATCAAGTGAAGAATGTTCATGCAGGCCGCTACCAGTTGCGAAGAGGAGCCCTGAAAGAAAGAAGCCAGATACGCATATGACATGCGCATGAGCGGAGGCGCAAACAGCACTGATCATGATCGATGCACGCCTGGCGACTTGAGATCTGCTGTTCGAGACGCGATGGGGCCCTGACCTGAATTGTGACAATGCGATCTTGGCCCATATCGCCTGACTGGGATTGGACGCGAATGTTGGTCGAAGTCTTGGCTTGCAGTTCACGGATGTTAGCACCGCCCTGGCCGATGATGGCACCGGCCTGGGAGTGGGACACAATCATGTTGGCAGGCAGCAGCTATTGATGACAAATACTCCAATGAGGGTCGATCACAGTGCCACAAAAGGGCAGCGCTTTGCTGCACAGGTACGGGGAAAGTCGATGGGTCGGTGGGCTATTGCCGTGGGACGTACATGGAGATGTTGCGCGCTGCGCACCATGACCTCCAGCTCTGGGCCCATGTACAGGAACGACTAGATACGCATGTTGGAGAGATGAGCATGCAGCGTGGGAAGAAGCAGGCGGACAAGTCCGTTCGGGGCTCTGAGACGTACGGCTGCGGCCGAAAGCTGGGGTTGAGCGCGGAGATGAGCCGCAGCTTCCGCAGCCTTCATGGAGCCGGGGAAGATGAGGATGTAGTGGTGAAAGTCTGGCGCGGACTTGGCTTCACCTTCGGCAACGGGAGGGCCACGGATGCTGTTGGCCTCGAGAACCTTGAAGTTCTCGCAGAAGGCACGCATTTCATCGATTGTGACGGCCGGGTCAACATTGGCCACCACAACGGCAACCTGGGAAAGAAGCGTGCGCATATGGAGTGGGGCAGGTACCGTGGGAGTGAATGAGAGAAAACTGGGCGGGAAAATGGCGAAAAAACCATGCCTTGGCGTCGTGCAAACATACCGGGCCATTGCGAAGGCGGTCTTGCTGAGTGCGCTGGGACGAGTCGACCGAGATTTGGAGCGGGGAGTCGTTGATGACTCGGTCTGGTTGATTGGGTGCATTTGGTGAGATGGAGTGATCTTGGGCGTGCAGCAGGACCAGAGCTGGGAAAGGGGGCAGCGGCGCATGAAACGTACCGCGAAGGGCGGCACAGACGGCTTCTTCGTCGACGGTGGCAGTAAACTTGACAAAGCCGATGCGCTTGACCAGAACAATAGACTCGACCTGTAGGTACCAACGACGTTTGTGTTGGGGCAGGTAGGAAGGGTGGTGTGAGCTGTAGGTTGGTGAAGCGTGGGCATGGGTGTCTGTTTGTGTCGATCGCTGGCCCGATTAGGCCAGCGTGTGCGCAATCTAGGGCTGGAGGCGTGGAGGCTGAGCTGCTCGCTCGCCCCTAGCCGCATTGCGTCGACTATGGAGGGCTGGTACGAGCTGGAATGGCGTGCATCATGTACCTGGCCGTAGACACGGAAAGCCTCGTGGAGGGCGATGGGCGCCGACCGGACCCGGGCCACGTTACCAATCCAGAATAGCGACATGGCAAGAGGTGTGGCAGGTGTGCGTGTAGGAGGAGGAAGAACAGGAGGGTGGGGGAGGCAAAGCCTATGGATGGACACGAGGCAGACGGGTCAAGGTGAGCGTCCAGTCAGTCAATCAGCCACAGCACGAGCCAGACCGTGCGTGCGTGCGTGTTGGGGGGGTCGCCACCAGACAGGAGAAAGAAAAGTGAAGAATTAAAAAAAACCCGTTCGGCACGACCAAGAAAGAGGTTCCCGGGCCGTCAGTGGAGGAAATGGAGATGCCCGAGTCGAATGCAATCAAATTGCATTTGCCATCCTTTTCCAACCGTTCTGCATTCTCCAGCCAACCGCTGCCCTTTCCTTCCCCGTCCCCTCAAACTCGCGCATGAGCACACATCGAGCGCCACTGAACCGACCTTGAAAGAGAGAGAGAGTGTGTGTGTAGAGTGTGAGAGAGAGCGAGAGAGAGAGAGAGGTGAATGATCGAATGGTGCCGCGTGGTTTCTTCTGAATGTGTGAAAGAACGAGAGAGAGGAGAGAGAGAGAGAGAGAGAGCGAGAGCTTGAGAGAGAGAGAGCTTGAGAGAGACAGAGAGAGAGAGCTAGAGAAAGAGAAAGAGAGAGAGAGAGAGAAAGCGAGAGAGAGAGAGGGAGAGTCACACGTCAACACCTTTCGTGTGAAAGCGCACATGCAGCCGCCACAGCAGCAAACCACGCTGACATTCTGACAAACACCAAATTATCAGCATGTCAGATAATTACAATTCCGAAGCGATTATATTTAACTTTGGAGCCAGGGTGCTGGAGGGCATCATCAGAGATGGTAGGTGAGCCAATGGAGGAGGCCCGGTCACTGACAACCGCGTCGCGACGACGGGGCGGCCAGGGGCGGGGGTCTGCGTCCTCGGGCGTGCTGGCTGCTTACACAGACGCACGCTGAGACGGGCACAGACATACACACACTTTGTATGTGTGTGCGCGCGTGTATGTGGTTGCTGAATCTTCCATTGCACGCCGCCCACTCGCTGACGTGTGCGCGTGTGCTTCCTCATGCTCTCGCTTCAATTTCCTCACATACTCGCGTGCGCTTTTATCGGGCTGATCAGGCAGCAACAACAACACCGGTGGTTCAGTTTATCAACAACCCCCAGACGGTGCGTGCTCGCCGATCAACTCGAGTCTGCCCGATTATCAGACATCTTATCGTGCTCACCTTGCACTCGTGCTCCCATCAGGTGGTTGAAGAGGCGCTGCAGGGACTGTGCCGTTGCAACCCACACCTCGTCAAGATCAAGGGCCTCAACGTCGTGTGTCGTGATGATATTCACGCCCATCGCCAACAACATGTCGTCGTCATCTCTGGCGGGGGTGCGTGGCGACGCTGCTAATACGCTGACCGCCTCCTCCCCCGTTCGGCAGCCGCATTCCTTTCCACCCAGCCTCTCAATCATTTGATCTGCGTCGGTGACGCAGGTTCGGGACACGAGCCGGCCCATGCTGGATTCGTTGGTGATGGTATGCTGGCCGCAGCCGTTTGCGGCAACGTGTTTGCCAGCCCCTCGGTTGCTTCCATCCTTGATACGATCCGCACGTGAGTCGGCCCCGTCGACGCTCTTGCCACCACCGCTCCTCCCCTCCCGACATTGTTTTCAAGAGACTGAACTGAGTCTATGGCCATCTACTCATCGCGATCGCGTTGTCAGCGTCTCGGGACCCAAGGGTGCCCTCTTGGTGGTGAAAAACTACACCGGCGATCGCCTCAACTTTGGTCTGGCTGCCGAGAAAGCCAAACAGCTTGGTATCCCAGTGGACATGGTCATCGTCGCCGATGACGCCGCCGTTCAAGCCCGAGGTAAGGACCAATCGTTGCATCTAATGCCTTCTGTTTGTTTACTTATTCGGGTGGGGCGGGGGTGGGGGCTGAGTTTTTTTTTTTTTTTTTGGCTTCAACCGAAGCAGCCTCAATCCGTCGCACCGAATCTGACTGAGCCCAGGACGAACAGGCAATCGCGGCCTGGCTGGCACACTCTTTGTCCACAAAGTCGCCGGTGCCGTGGCAAGCACCGGTGCCTCCCTGGCAGAAGTCAAAGCCGCTGCACAGAGCGTAGCCGAGACCGTTCTTAGCGTTGGCGTCGCTGCCGGTCCTTGTCAGCTGCCCGGTGGGGCCCCCAAAGACCCTTGGCCGCACAATACCGTCGAACTCGGTACATACCCCTCGGCACCCGCTCTCCTTGCCCACGAAGCACCTTTCTCCAGTCGAATGCTGCCCTGATTTCTGACACACGCTCCCAGGCCTCGGAATCCATGGCGAACCAGGTCGTGAGCAGCAGCAATTCCATACGGTCGACGCGCTCGTCACCGAAATCTGTGGCCACTTTGGCCAGCTTCAACCCAAGACTGACGTTGCCGTGCTCATCAACAACCTGGGCGCCGTCAGCAACCTTGAAATGGCCATTGTAGCAAACTCTTTGCTCTCCCACCTTCAAAACACAATGCATCTCAATATCCGCCGCGTCTTCATGGGTGCTCTTATGACGTGGGTCTTGGCGCCCCTTTCGTCTGATGCCCCCTCAAACGCCCTTTTGAACAGCATACTGCATGCGTGCTCAAATCCCCTTCTACTGCCCGACCCAGTTCCCTCAACATGCCAGGTTTTTCTGTCTCGCTCCTTCCTGTTGGGAAGGACGGCGAACTGCAACGGGTTGAAGACCTCCCTCTTGAAGTGGTCAGTTGCTGGCTCCACGCAGGTGCAACTCTTTTGACATTTTTTCGGACAACAGCATGCTTGCCTGCTCTGATCTCCTGGCTTGCTGCCAAAGTGGCTCGATTATACTACCGCAGCACCCGGCTGGACAGCCTTTGCCCATGCGCATGCACTCGATGCCCGCCAATCGCGGTATGTTTGTTCATGCTGCACCCTTGCCGGCTCTCCAATTCGCTGGCATCTTATCATCTCTGTGCATGCAAAAGGGATGGCGCACATGCTACTGAGATTGAGCCGGCAGCCGAGGTCAACCCAGGCCAGCCGGCTTCCTCAAACGATGATGACGTCAACAGCGACGCACTTGATGCCGTCACCACGCAAGCCATCAAGACTCTTCTCCAAGGTTTGCAAGTTTTGAAGTTTTGTCGTGGCAAAAGAGATTCCCCCGCCCCTCTGAGGGAACGACGCCTTTTAGCTGCTCGCCGCTGACCCGGACCTGGCAAGCGCAGTCTTGCCTCACGCTCACCTTGTCCTATCATCCCAATGCCTATCATTTGCGTACACCCGTCATTAGGGGGCGCCGAGCGTCTGATTGCCGCCGAGCCAGAAATCACCAAGCTAGATCAACAGGTGGGCTGCTGACATCCCCACCTCGCTGCTCCACAAGAGGCGAATGTCCACTCATTTCCCGAGCGTGGTTGTGGTACGGTGACAGATTGGCGATGGTGATTGTGGCGACACCATGTCACGGGGTGCTCGGGCGCTACTGACATTGCTGAATCAAGAATCCTTACCGACACATGCCAGCCAGTGGTGCTCTGCCATTGTACGACGCTTGCACGCCCCCTTCAAGCACCTCGCTGAACATGTCGTGTGAAAGCAAAGGCCCTGACAAGACTGCTGCGTGCCTGACAGGGCAAGACATTGGAAGCGAGTATGGGTGGAACTTCAGGCGCCATCTTTGCTATTGGGTTGGCGGCCATGGCTGCGCAGCGGGATAAAGCAACTAGTTTCAAGGTACGGCATTCAAGCGGTTGTGAATGCATGCATATGTGTGGTCAAAATATGTGGTCTGGCACTCTTGATATGGCAATTGGCCTATTATGGCTGCGGGTGCCACACGGTGCTTCTCAACCGGGTCTGAAATCACGTGGTCCCTCCGTGCACAGCATCGACTGCAGGCAGCGTGTGAGCAAATTAGCTTGTATGGCCGCGCACAGCGCGGCGATGCAACGCTTCTCGACGTTCTTTTGGCCTTGCAGGAGGCCTGGCCCGAGACCGGCACGGCCACTTTGAAACAAGATCATGGCGAGCACCTGTCCAGCGTGGCACTGCGAGCCGCCGAGGCGGTCAGACTCCTGCTGCCTTTTGCCATGCTTGAACCACTCGCAGAGTGGCCATTCAAGCTGAAGCACGCACGCACACGCACAAACACAACACATACACATACACACACAACCACAACCACACACTCGTCAACACTAAGCAATCATGATGGCACAAGTGACTCATTCGTCACAAATGGCCCCCTTTTGCTAGACGGCAGACATGGTTCCCCAGGCAGGTCGAGCAAGCTACGTTGACGGGAAGAGCGCGCGCACCATCATGGATGCCGGTATGTTGGCGACTCTGAAGCCCGATAGCAGTAATCGCACAATCGCAGTTTGCACTTTGAATATGCCTGGCTCACTCTTGAATCCGCCGCAACTCCGGCCGACGTCTTGCGGTGTGTAGGTGCGCTGGCCGTTGCCCGCTTTGTCCAAGGTGCCTTTTTATCGAGTCGAAACTGAGGAGCACTTCAAGCGGCCTTCCGAAATTATGCCAATTGACACAACTCCCACCCCAACTCAGTCTGTATCGCCTTGCCTTGCGCCGACAAGGCGAGTTGTTCCTAATTAGCACCGAAGAACTAAACACTATGCTGAAGGTGCCGGCTGAGGGTCGGCACTGGCAGAATAGAGTCGGCTGCGATCCTCCAAAAGGCGGCGTCGCTCCAAGTGAAACCGCTGCTTGAGGACAGACATGGTCATGTTCTATATTGGCCGGAAATAAGCGCACGGTTTTCGAGATGAGTTGCTCGGACAACAATCAAACAGTCGAAGGGGCACCAAGGCAGCTGCGAAAGAAGCGAGCAAACCAGCATACCAGTGAATCCAAACTGTCATCGTTGAGCATGAGCATGAGCTCGCCATCCACCATCTGGTCTCGAAAAGCTTTGAGGACGGGCTCGGGCATGCGAATGGCTTGGAGCCAGCGCTGGGTATCAGAGACAGACCATTGCAGGACCGTGTCTCGCATGATGCCCTGCACCGGGGTCGGGGGAGCACCGGCGGAAGGGGTTGGAGATGCCAGCTGCATATCCATGACCGGCGTGGAGGCGTGTTTGGTCGGAGTTGGCTTGGTGGCTTGGTGGGCGGCAGACGAGTTGGGGGAGGCATCAGAGTTGCTGGTGGCATTGCCGGTGACTGCATGGGGGGTGCCGAGGTGAGGCCCACCTGCCATGGCGGCGGCAGCGGCGAGACTCCCGACCGCGGCATAAGTGGGCAGGTTGGAATCACTGAGAGGGCGTTGAAAAGGGTAGTTGGTGTTGGGGTCGATGGAGGAAGGCACGATGGTGGTTCCAAAGGTGGTGTGGGAGGGATCGAGGCTGGCACGCTTGCCAGGGTTGACGTCTCCACTGCGCGCCTCCCTGGTAGTTGGCGCTGTGGCTGGGCGTTTGGCGCGGACGGTGGTGGCGGTGGTTCCGCGTTTGGTGCGAGTGCCTCGATCACGAACGACGGTGGATTTGAAGACCATGGGCAGGCTGTTGGCGGGGGTACGGGCATGAAGCTGTTCCATGGCGGTGCTGGCCGACAGGTCGGCCAGGCCATCAAGCGCACGCACCACGGCCGAGGGGATGCCTCTTTCCTGCAACACCTCGGGGGAGCACTGGGACTGCCGGAGGGAGAAAAGCCAAGGGTCAGGTGAGAGTGGAAAGCCGGCAGCGGCAAGGGAAACACGAAGCATCGAGTTTTTATGGGTCGGCAGGACGCTGAAGCAGCACGAGCGAGGGGTGGGCACATACCTCAAGGTCTAGGATGAAGGGGATGACGCGCATGGTGCGGTCTGTGGCCATGGTGACGATGGTGTTGTTGCAAATGATGGTGCGGGTAACGCTGCGGGTATGGCCGGCCAGGGTGAGAACGCGCTCCCAGGTGAAGCGGTCAATGACATATGCCTTGTGCGTCATGGAGCTGGCCGTGATGTAGCGTCCGCAGATCTGAACGTCCATGAGCATGTCGTGGCAGTTGTAGCGGTGGAGGACGGTGCCGCGGACATAGTCAGCGAGGATGATTTCACCACTGGCACCACCGATGAGCATGTGCGTGGGCTTGTCCGAGTTGGTGTCCGAGTCGGTGGGGTGGGCGTCGGAGCTGATGTTGACAATGTCCTGGTCGGGGTGGTCGTCGAGAAAGTGAATTCGTACCACGCCGCGGCTGGCGCAGGCTTGGATCATGCACATTTTGGTGGCGGTGGCCGGGGCATCGCGGTTTCGACCGACCACACGAACGCGACCGTCGTTGGTACCGACGGCGATGACATCTCCGCGCGGGGCGCGAATGGCGGCGCAGGTGGCTTCCATGGAGGTGTCCATGGTCAGAATCTCGCCTTGTGCCTTGATGGAGAGGACCTGAACAATGTATGGGGTGGAGGCTTGGCTGGGGGTTTTGTGCTTGCCGGCAATGACAATTTCATCCCCGCAGATGGAGATGGTGGGGGACTGCGCCGCGTAGGTGATTTTGGTTACGGGCGTCCAGTCGCTCGTGTTCCAGATTTTAACGTTGTGGTCGTATGCGGAGGTGATGAGGAGGCGGCCATCGTCTGAGAAGCCCATGTCACGGATGCCGTACCGAGGATGGGCTTGAAACAGCAGCTCGGGGGCACTGTTTTCAATGGGAGCGGTGAGGTGCCGATAGACGGCCACCTCGCCGGACATGAGGCCCACGCAGAGGATGTCGCGTTGGGCATCGTAGGCCACGGAGCGGGGGGATTCGGGAAACACGAGGCAGTATTGGCTGGCCATCGTGGCGGCGGCCGTGGCGGCAGCGGCATCCTGGGGCGTCTCCGCGGCCGCGCGTGCTCGCGTCGTTGCGCTAGCGCGCCCACGGCCACGCGCTGCCGTTCCGCGACCCCTGGGCCGCCCTCTCGGTCGTCCGCGCACAGCCGGTTCCGAGCTCGCGCCCAGCATTGCGGTAGCTGATCGCGTCGCCATGTTCCACCTGACACCTCACCAACAGCACCACGACAGCGACACCAGCGTCAACAGAGGCACCAATCGATCCCTGACCACGGTACACGCCCCGCAGAGGGTTCACACCGGGCGCGCAGCGGGTCTCTGCCTCTGTGTGTGTGTGTGTGTGTGAGTGTGTGAGAGAGAGAGAGTGAGAGAGAGAGAGAACTGGAACTTGAGACCGGCACACACACACACACGCGCGCCAGAAGCAGAGGCAGAGAAGTGTGCCAAGGGGGCTATAAATTCAGAGAGTGGGTGTTGATCAGGGTTGAATGTAGTGGAGAAAGAGAGGGTGTTGAGAGAGGAAGTGTACTTTGTGTCGATACGTCAGAGAGGGCGAGAGCAGGTCAGGCGGCTTTGAACGTGTAACGGTCAGTAAGACAAGACAACTTTTAGCGGTAATAACGACAGCCACAGGCACTATAGCCAAAAAA